TCAAGTCTCTCTCACTTGCAAAGCGAGTGCTCTAACCACTGAGCTACAGGACTCCATGTTTCTTGTTTCTCACATTCTGCCACATGGATCTCAACCATGCTGTGGTGAGGAGGCATTAAGCATGTCTTAATTACTCATGTAATAATGAATTAGGGTGAGTCATCTCAAGCTGCTCTTATGCACCTCCTGGTGGCAATTTCAAAGTAATGTTGGCACAGATCTGGGACCTGGTCACCCATCAGCTCCCTTGGCCAGAAATGACTAGAAAGACTAAATAAAAAAAATAGATAATATCTTATTTTATGTTAAATATATTAAATAATTTCAGTCTATTTGAAATTAAATAGCGTAAAGGTGTGGATCAAGGCATAACATTCTCTGCAGTAAGATGACCCTATGTTAAACTTTAAGTTGTGAAAAATTCTTAAATTCAACCCTAATTTGGAAGCCTTTTTAAGTACTGCAGAAACAGGCTTCCAACTTAAGATTATATTTTAGAATTTTGCATGGTCTTAAATTTTAAGAGAAAATGATCTTGGAGGTTAGGACTTGGTGGAATTCTGAGCCTCACACTTTTCATTGAGTTATGTGTTGCTACGGAACGGAAGATGCCGAGAAGCAGTCACTTGAATAAAAAAAACACAGGGGGCGAGTCTTAGAGGGAGAATTCCTTTTTGAATGATGCAGAATGGGTGATAACTAAGATATGTGATTGAGCGTAACTACTCCTGCACTTTACCAGTAGGAGGTTCTTGCTGGGACAATGTGAATCTTCCTAATGAAAATATTACCTATCAAGAATAAATCATTGTTTTTTTTAGACAATGTGTGGTGTAACAATCAGTCTGTTGATATCTAGGAATTTTGTCTTCTCAGAACCATATTCTAATATTGTTCTGTTACTCTGATTCCTGACCCCAATAAACATCGCCACTGCATTGGTATCTACTTTGTATTCTTTGTTCACTATTTTATATTGTTATTGATGGAATATGATTCTTTGATGTCTGAGACTAGGGAATACACGGAGAACGTGGAGACTGTGGGAAGCCTTTCTCTAGCTTGAATTCTTTGAAGGAAGAGCAGCAAGTTTTATATATTTTTTAACCTTTAGGGAGTCCATGGAGTAATATGACTTGCATATGAGCCTGCAAATTCAGATGCAATAAATAGAATTGAGCAATATTGCACTGTCGTTTGACAGAAATTGTGATTTGGTATTCAGAAATACAGCTCTTACAGAAATTACAGATATTAAAATGTGAATCAGTGCCTCAATTTTCCTGTAGGTTTATGACTATTAGGTTATTCTGTTTGATTGCTGAGTAGATCTACAGAGGATTGACAGTTCGCTGGCAAGCTTTCACTGCAAATCATACAAGAAAAATCTAGTCTCATTGGACAATCTTCTGCCTGCATTAAAAATGCGGTATTTGACCTATCTCAGACTGATTGCTTTGCTTTCTTTATTTTAAAGGAACATTAACCCTTTGTGCACTTTCACACATAGCATTTAAATTGACAATATTTTTTAAAGTTTCTCTGTTTTTATATCTGATATCAACTTACATATGACAACGATCATCCACCAACCAAGAATGGTGTAATACATGATATCATTATGTTATTTCTTCAATTGTTGATAAAAGGCAAAATGCCAACTGGAATATATAATTTTTGGCAGAAGAATTTTCTCCTCCCTCCATTCTTTTCCAGTTATTTTGTCATCTTTACTCAATCCTCCTTGTAATCCAGCATTCTGTAATTGACAGTATTAGCAAGGAACCTCTCCTCAGATCTTTCTCACTCTTGAATTTGTCAGAGAAGTAGTAGAACCCTAGAATTCTAAAGCACAGAATAAGACCACTCAGCCTATTAAGTCTTGGCTAACTTTCTGAAAGAGCTATCGTCCCACCACTCTCCTGCCTTTTTCCCATTGTTGGGATATACCGATCCCGAGGATCCGAAATAATGACTCAACAATCCTTAATAAAGGTATAATGGTTTATTATTCACAAACGGTTTATGAGTATATAGCAAAAGAGGTAAATAGTCATACTACCAGTTCTATGTAGTCGGTAGGCTAATTTCAATCTTTCATGTCGGGTTCTCAGGCTCAAGCTTTTGCAATACTCACGTTCTCTTTTTGTCTCTCTCTCTGTTTCCACACCTCTCTTAGTCTCTTTCTCCCTGCTTCCACCCCTCTCTGTTCGGTGGCACCCCAATTATACTAAATTCCCCTCTAACCTTTGCTCCGGCCAGAGAAGATTATGGTCTCCAGAATTTTATTCTTCCTTTGTCCTGTCTAACCTGATCAACGAGGTTCTCATCTTTTTGGGCATCTGGAATTGAGACAGGCTTAACTGTATCTCAGTACTGTCCTTGAGAGTGTAACCAGTCTACAAGAAAAAGCTTTCAGACACATATTCCATGGTCCTGGTGCCAGGCTCAGGGTCTTCCCCTTATCTCCAGATGGCCGTACCTCATATGTCCGGACTAAAGGTTGTGCCTGCTTCTCACAGTGCCTGAAACCAACAGCCACGGTATTCTTTTAACATTTTAAACCACTGTCTTATAATTGCTATAAGGTGTTATAATTTCTACATATTCTACTCAATCTAACACCATGTAATTGTATATTTTTCGTTTTTCAAATTTCCTTTTAAAAGATTCAGTTTTATGGATTCTACTTCAATCACAGTTTTTGGCAGAGCATTCCATGCTCTAACCTCTCCCAAGTTTTATTAAAAAAACAAGTTACCCCATCCANTTTTTCCCTGAAGCTTTCCTTCATAGCAAGTTTCAACAGCCGAGCTGAAACTAGGAGCTAAAATGTGGGAGCACTTAAGCATTGCTTTGTATTAATGCACCATCACTGTTCACCACCAGGTTCCTCTTTCTTTTCTCACTAAAGTGGAAATGACTGACCATTACACAGTGGACATGGTCAATATTTGAATGGGAAAATTGCATGAAATCAGGAAGTGAAAACTATGAACAAGTAAACTTATCTATTCCTGCTCCCCTCCCCACCCCTTGGAAAGATTGTGTCTGGATGTGTCATCTTCTCTGGCGTTAATGACTTTCTTGATTGCTTTGATGTCTGCTACAAAATGTTTGTTGCCTTTGCACACGTCCGCATTGTTGGATGAAAACCTTTCAGAAGTAAAAAGAAAAATATTTGATGATAAATCGAGCACTTCAATTAGTGTGCCTAGATCTAAATATAAGCACACTTCTGTTTATCCAAACCACTCAAGAGTGTAGATAAATGGAAATAAGCAATCAACACGTTAAATTGACAAGAAGGGGATATAAGTGAAAAGAGCACACGTCAAATAAACTGTTTGTTATGGTACTGTGAAAAGTCAATGTTGTCTGGAATGTTGGAGCGTATTTCACTTGTCACAAAACTAAATTACAACAGCCTCTATCTAGCACAAGTTGTTCTTTTAATTGATTTGCAACAAAGACAGAATTTTCCATCGTTCTGCACAATCATGAATTTTGAGACAAACTGATCGTACAGGTTAAGACTGGATGGAATTTTGAGTCTAGTGTGAGGCAGCAATGAATTAGAAAAACAGAATAGTAGGCATAGTTAACCTCCACTAATTTGGAACACGGGAGTGGCTTAAACCTTAGAGCCAGAGAAAAGCAACATGGGTGAACCCCAGTATTATTGAGATAAACTATGAAAAATGAAAAGAGATGTCTCAAAAGGGTCTTCCTGGAGGTATTTAAGATGCTAAATGGGATAGCGAAAGAAAATCTAGACATGCGAAGGGCAGTAAGTGGATGAGAATACAGGTTCAGGATGTGAAGAATAATTTAAGGAGCAATACCAGGAAGGATTTCTTTACGCGCAGGGTAGAACAAGTTACCGAGAAGGCTGGAAGACATCACAGTAAGAACCAGTTGGATGCTATACGTATTAGGAAAAAGGTAGAGTGGGTATTCTGGAAGATCAAATGGGCCAAAGGGCCTTCTTCAGCCAAACGTTTTTGGTGATTGTCAATCTTTGATGCATAAAACATTTTCCGCAAGCACAACAAGCTCAGACCATGAAATCTATCTATGATGTTGCAAAGGATTAAAGCTGATTGCAATGTTTGAACTGCAGGTGAACAGAATCAAATGACAAATAGTATAATACTGTGTAACTGCAGTTCGACTATCTATATGCCCTCATTCACCTATCTGTATGTTATTCAGTATATGTTATTGAACAATGGATATCTGGGGGGGAATTGTAACAACACAATCAGGAGTTCACATGATGACATAAAACCACAAGAACAAAGTTCAAGTAATTTATTATCATAGTTCAGATTCTGTTATTGCTTTCAATTCCATCAGTGTCTGTTGTTTTACTTCATGTACACAATGTCATTTTCATATATTGCAATTGACTTCAAACGCATTTACTTAGTCCTGTCAGCACACTGCTTTCAATACTCCCTTGTGTGTACATTCACATCAGTCAAAAATATAAAACCCCTTTGTTCAATAGCAAGAAAAAGATTACATCATATAACTGGTAGACATGTTTTGCAAGTTTTAATGTGCTGTGTATTAATTAGGTTACAGTCTACTTATACAAGTCTTAGAATGATAATTTACCTTAATATACTTCCACGCCTTAACCACTCTGCACATTGTATTCCAGAGTGACTTTAGTAGCAGCCAACAATGTCCATAGAACATCAAAATAATGATTATTTTTCTTGTCCTTTCAATGTCTGTTTTGCAATGGACTCTACAATTCATTGCTCAGAGGGAATATTAACCAGTTATTGCATTTTATTTACTTGGGGTCACATTACAAAAAGCAAAGGCGCATAATCTAGCACACATGTTGATTAGTAATGGTTTGATGTTTTAAAGCTGAGAGTATTTAAGTCAGTGCTTTTGTTCCTGTGATGTAAATTAAATGAATGCTTTGTTTATTTATGTCAATTAGAAAGGAAGATTTATATTGTGTATCTTTATTTGTACAGATGATAAAACTTGAGCAGACAATCAAACAGCTTAAGGAAGAAAGAGTCCGACTGCAGCAACACTGCCACGAATTGGTAGAAGAAAATGAACGGCTTCACGCACAACTGGAGGCTGAGAACTTAGCTATGGAAAGTGAGCAGAATGTTATGTCAATGGAGGTCAGTCCCCTTTTGTTCAATAGAGCTCCACGAAACCTCTATATAGAATTAGACATTTTGATCTGTGCATCACATCGGATTTTCACTTAGCCGTAAACAATGTGTAAATTTGTCTGAAAAAATCGCATAACCACTGGAAAATATCGTGGCATGAAATCTGTTCAACATGTTCACAATAATGAACTAGTTAGTCCACAACACAAGAAAATCAATGGATAATTTCCCTTCAAAACATTTTAGATCATGATCTGTGTTACATGATCCACCTATACACTCTATCAGCTTTAGTTCTTTTCCCCCATTCGCAAATCACAAGATTAGTTCGGATGAAGAACTTCTGATCTCTGTTTCAGGAGTCCTTGGCTTCCTGCGAAAAATTACTTTGCATTAAAATGATTTTTTTCTTACAACTCTAAAACTGTAGGTGTCAACAAAGTTGCTTGACTTTTTACAAATTTATTTAAAAAGTTAATTTTTAAGGTTTTTGTCATTTGGAACTAACTAGGATTGCTCAGTCACATTAACTTTATATTCTACAGATGCAAAGAGGTTTGAGTTGCGTTCTTTCTTGGCTTTGGTGTTGACAGCAATAACTGTGCTTACTATCTTTGTAACTTAACCTAACCATGGTAACCTATCTTAGTGAATTGTGACAAGTTTTTAGATTGGATATGAAGAATGCTCTCAAATGTGATAGAGCTTAGAGCAAAGGGACATGGCTCAAATTGAAGACTCATTTCCAATCAAATAGGAGTTCACAGAGATATCCAATTTAATATGGAACTCCCAAAAGCAGTATGATTGTCAATTCAGCAGGAGATTCAAAATGGCATCCACACTCGAATTGTAACAGGTTTCAAGGCACTAATGTATAATGTTATTCAAGGGACAGATGGAAAATGTGCATAGCAGTGGAGACTATGAGAGTGAAAAATAGGAAAGGAAAAAAGTGTTTCCCAATAAAATTCAGTTAAATCCATGTACATAAACAGCCATGTTACAAGTACTGTAACTTCATGGAAAATATCAGATTTAATATAATTACCAAAGCACAATTTGCCCCCCATAAAATCAGTCATTGTATTTCTGACCTGTGATACCAAATAAGAGTAAAGATTTTGACATAACCAAACAAGCCATTTCCTTTCTTCTGGATTTCCGTTCAGTCATTGATTCTGTAATTTTCAAACATGCAACTTATTTGTATTGGAAAAAGCATCAAAGGAAACAGAAAACCTTTGTTGTGACATAACACCACATCATGTCAGAAGCCCTTAAAAAAGTCATGTCACCATTGTTGCTAAATATGTATTAAAAATAAATGAAACCCTTTTTTTCTCCAGTTGAATATAAAGGAAAGTTTGATTCACAAGCTGAAAAAGGAAAGCATTGCCCTGCAAGACAAAGCTAAGGCAGCTGAACAAAAGGTAAAGTGTTCTGCATGATTTGCAATTCCGGGTCTACATAAATCTTTCAAAATTTGGCACATGCACAAAAATTATATACATTTAAAACCAGAAGAAGCATATTTCTACATAATGTGTTGATTTCTGTTGTGTTTACATGAAAATGAATGTGATACCAAAATATAAAGTGATAATAAATATTCACTTATTGGGTTAAATTGTAGACATTTTAGATCTCTCCTGGGATTGGGAGAGTTGCTTTACATTTCATGCAATTCCAAGGCGATGTGTTTGAAGATGATACTGATTTTCATGTTGTCAAGTTACTCCAAGTGGCCACCTTCATGCAAATCCCTAATTCCAATTATGCAGCAAATTGTCTAGTTCACTTAGATGGTTTGTGTTCACTGCACCTTCAACTCGCGAGAGATCACAGGCTCAACCAAAATCTTTTGGGTGTTTATTTATAATTACATGATTTTTCACGTAAGCATTCTTTTGAAGTAAAGAAGCTGATTCTTAGCAGCTCATTAATACCTGAATCACAACTATGTCAATGGCGACAAAATTAAAAATAACGGGACACTAAAAAACTGTGGATTCTCTGAGATTGTATAAATTGAGAATCTATTTTTCTATGTAACCAAATACGAAAACGTCACTTATGGAGCTCTAAACTTTTGTGATAAAGATCACGTTATGTTTTTGTTGGTACAGCATACTTGTTTAATTTCAGTGAATTTTAATGTTATGTATTGCAGAGGGTCCAGTCAGGAATGGAAAATATTTACATGTAATGCTTCTGTCGGTTGAATACAGTAATATGTTGCAGAACTATCACCTCTTTTATCCTCTTTTATAAAAAGAACTGCAGAAGAATAGTATGTATTTTAGGCTTTATTGTGGATGCTCCTGTGTTGCTTGTATCTGAACCATTAGGAGTACTATGCCCTAATTTTTGATGTTTTACATTAGAGAGAAAAAAATGACAATGTCTCTTACATTCTCTTTCTTTCCTTTCACAACAGATTTTTCAACTTGAGATGCAGATTGAACATCTAAATCAGCAGCTTGAATCAACAGAGGCAGTCAAAGTGACCAGTGATGAGACAATCCACAGCCTAGAGAGACAGCTTCGAGAATACAGAACACGCCATGAGGAGACCGCAGAAGAGGTCACTGTTGTTACAATCTAAACACTTTTTATCATTTAGATTTGCTTGTTATTTTCTGCTCATAGCTTTGCAATTTTAAACATCCATCCTTCAACTGAGAGAAGGGCAAATAAATAGACCACAGATTTCTCGGCAAACATTTTGCACCGACATTGGTTGGGAGTTTAGTTGAATGGGGCACACATCATGGTCATGGACATTAGCTGAGAATCAATTTAAGTGGCTAATGAGTGGATTCCCTTCATCTGAATTTTCATGTAATTTGATCATATTTCTCCACTCCTCAAATTGTTATATTTGGGGCAGTTTCTGGTTTTATTGGTGTAAATAGATAATGAAAAAAATTCAATAATTAAACCAGAGTTTCAGATACATTTTGTTGCATTAGACTTACCCCAGTGAGAAGGAAGAGTATCCTATCCCTGATCAACATGGTAATACAATATACTTGCCTGCTCCCCAATATATCAAAGATTGGATACAAAAAGACCTGGGTTAAATTTTTAAGAGGTAATATATTTATTGAATGGCATTCATATTGGAAAAAAAAATCTCCTTTGAGTGCTGTGGGTTGGCATTGAGTGTTAATCTGACTCAAAACTTTGATTTAGAAAACTGCAAAGCAAGCATCTGAAGTGCAGTCCCACAAGAAATGACTTAAATTAACCTTCATGTTAATTCTGTTATGACCCAGCATTGCAGTTGAGACTGGTAATGTTCTGTATTATGCAACTCTGGAATTTGGTGATCTATTTCGTGTCCCTGTGAATATCTTCAAACCTGTCTGACTGGATCTTGCAAAACATTATCTTGTGTTCTTCCACCAATGATATGCTCATAGCTGTATGGGTTGCTCTCAAATGCATCTTTCTGTATTGTAGTTGATGGTTTAATCTACAACTCTTTTCCCATCAACTGGGGTTTTCCAAGGGTTCATGTTCTATCCTCCCCTTTATCCATTATTCCCTCCACTAATCCAACCCTATCCTCTTTTGGCTGTTAATTCCACTCTATATTCATCACCTTGCTTCAGATTGTATGCCCTCAGTGCCCTTAACCTTAACTCCTTCCGCAAAGCAATGTTTCAATCACTGAATCTTGATCTTCGTGCCCTTCAATGGAGAAATGAAACTATTTTTTTCAATTTTTCACACATAGTTACTTCATTTCTCTTTGCAAGTCAAACCATGGTTAGATTTCTCTGAAAAAAAATTAAATGGCACTTGTCTCCCAAACCAGAGTATCATTGGAGCAACGCCAATGATGTTATGCCAAATAGGGAATTCTACACCAATCTATTTTTCCTAGATTCTTTTCTAACTTTGCTGTTTTATAGCATGAGGCATATTGAGTGCTGATTTATACTGATTTTGTATCACAAGTTTACGCCTCTGGAGGCAAATCATAATGAAGAATGACTGATTTTCCTACCACCAAACTTAAGAGAATCCTTTTTGGAGTCTCATCTCTGTCTGCCTCTGTATGGAGGGATCTGACCCTATGATACATGTTACAGTTATTGGACTCAATGAAATGTTATTTTACTCAAGTGTGCACCAAACTGAAGGAATTTGTAAAATCAGCTGAAGAGTCAGATGCAGTGTGTTCAGTTTGGCATCATATTTTGAGCCTTGAGAACCACAAAATAAGAGAAAAAGCAAAAAGACCTCTGATCTCTTCACAGATCTTTTGCTTTGCTGTATTGGTGCTATATACACCTTCACAACCAACGAACAAGGAACGATTGCGCGTGTAAATATTCTGATGATGAATGCACTTCTTGTTTGCGTATTTTAATTTGTTTAAACCAAAAGAACTTTGTTTATTTTGCACACAAGTTCGTTTCCTCTATTCTATTGAAAGAAACTGGTGATCTTATGTTCGAACATTATTTATTCTAGGTGAATCGATGTGAAGATACAATAAGACAGCTGAATGGAGAGCTTTCATCTATTCAAATTGTTCAGGATTCAACTAAGAGGAGCATTGAGGTGAAGGAGGAAACAATCCAACAACTGACGACTGAGACTGAGATACTACAAAACAAACTCAAAGAATGTCAAACACGGGTAATGCCATTTTACTTTTGGGTGCTTTATACAGCAACATATTCAAAGAACAGATAATGAGGGCGCTTACAAATATTCTGTTAATCAGACTTAACTATGCTCACAGTTTCATCTGCATTTTAATTAGGAACATAGGAACAGGAGTAGACCATTCACCCCCTTGAGCCTGTTCCACCATTGTATTAGATCATGCCTGATCTGTACCTCAACTAAATATACCCACTTTTTCTCCACATCCCTTGATACCTTACCTAACAAATATATGTTGATTCTATTGACCCATATTGCCACATTGTGTTCTAAAAGCATTGCATTTAACTATGGAAAGCTATGTTGAAGCAGGAGAGAACAATAATTGAATTTCACAAAAATAATTTGACACTGTGAAATGCTTCAATGCTGACTGATTACAATTTTGTTCAAAACATAAGTATCACAATTTAGCGACTTTTATTAATCAGATTTTGGTAAGCTTTGGCGTTCTGGCTTGATCAAGCTTTTGTGTTCTGGGGAGTGGTTGGGAGCCTGGTGGGTGATTGAAATTGACTGATAATTGGGGATGGAATCTTTCTTCGTTTAACTGCACATTGTTTAAATAATTAACAACTTTAATATACTTCATAAAAATCATGCAACTGTACCTTCGGCTGTCACTTTGTTACAGAAATATAGAAAGGAATCTGCAGGACACATGTATAACCTTCAGACTGGTTCAGCATCTAGTTAGCCATCGTTAGGGATATCCTTCCGACGTGAAAGCTGCTATATAAATGTAATTTATTGTTGTTTATTTTCATTACTATTTGCTGATTGAACATAAAACTTTCCAAACACAACATGCTCTTCATTTTCACATCTGCATTTAAAATTAATGATTTTCTGGATAAGAATTCAAATTGTTGTTCTTGTCCGACTTGAGGTTAAATTTACGTCAGTGGAGCAAACACTGTAGCTGGAAGTACAGTCAGGTAGGTGACAGTAGCTTAGTGAATAATCAGGAAAACTGATAATTCAGGCATGGATAATCGAGGTTCTACTCTACTTAATAATTACTGTGAGCAACAAATGATTATGTTGCATGTTTGAGACCTTAACTCCAAAATTCAAGTAATTGTGAAATAATGTATTGAAATTTCTTGGGTCTCATAAACCAAATGGAAAAGAATGAGGTCTGCCTGAAATTCGACTCTGTATCACGCTGTGGATACTTTGCTTTCAATTGTTTTGTCTGAGCCAAGACACTTGTAATTCAGATTGACTTGTATACTATTTCTTTGTTTTTGGAAATCAATTTCCTGTTATCCTGAAACTCGCTCCGCAGTCTATTCCATGCAGCCTCCAGGTACTTGGGGTAATAAAATTCTGTCTGCATTCTGCACTGTGAGGTGTTTGATGTTACTTTTTGTAGAATACAGATACAGTAACAGAATAATAATGTAAAACTCTCAGTAGGATGGCTGTGAAAGGAGTGAGGAGACTGATGATGCTTTCTGCATTGCTGATTAGCCAGCTTTTTTCTCGTTGCAATGAAGCTTCGTGCATCAGGCTTCACTCAAATAAATGACCCAGGGAATTAAAGGTCATTTCAGCCATAAAGTAATATTCTCTTGATAAGAAGCACCTTTGCATTAAACACCAACTCGTGATGGTCGGAGTGCTATTATTTGAATTTTTCAATTCACTCTTATTCACAGATGTGCAGGAGTCTAGTTATTGGTTCCTAGTGAATATATTTCCCAGACTAGGCAACTGTTATTTAAGTGTTCCGAGACACTGCCCCGCATGAAGGCACTATATCATTGCAAGTTGTTGTGGTTGTAATGTGTCAACTAAAAATGCTTTTAACGTTTCTTGAAATCGGAAAGAATTTATGTTGCCTTTTTATCGGATGTACCCACTCTTTTAATTGAATTAGGATTAGCAGGTTTATGAAATCGAGCGGATACGTCGCTCAATATTGTATGTGACCTAAATATTTTACATTAATCTATCATTATATGTATGTATATGGCTGAGGAACTTCAGCCCTATTTTCACAAAACAAATTTACTGCAGTACATCAGAAATGTACTCTGCTGAGATGGAGAGGAATTTGTAACTACATTTCTACATCACAGCAACATACTGCTTCCTTACTAGCCTCATTGTAATTCAGTAAAATTGGTCCCATGGTGGATACATCATCCAGAATACTACCTCAGTACAAAATACTGATCTAATTAATAGATCATTGCATAGTTTTTTTTTTGCAGTCTACTATTTTGAATGGCATGTCCCACCTGGTACTTTTTCACTGTGATAACTGGGTATAATGAAGTCAGGAAACAATTAATGATAATTATCTTTACATTTGATATTGCACCTTTCATGTCAGGGAAAGGGCTGAAAGTGCTTCACAAGATTTACTATAAAGTGCAGTGACTTTATTTTGTAGGTGAATTAGGAAGAAATCAAAATGTTAACTACTCATGTAGGGAAAGTTGCAATATTACAAGTGGAATTTCTACACAGTGCAAGAGCACCCAATATATGTTGTGTGTTGGATGTCCCTATAATCTATTAGACATTGTATTCCCTTAGATCTGCTATAATTGTGACATGAGGATGCAGAAAACTCTTCTGTGAGTGTCATTCACACTAAACTGAGATACTGGGAATAATTCTAGAAATACGAAACCCAAAGCAATCACAATTGGGGGTTGTAAAATTTCATTAAAATTACCAACTTAATATGGGATTTAGGTGTTTGTAAATCACTTGAGACTTTCGTGAAAAGCGCTATATCAAATGCAAGGATTATTATTATTATCATTGTTGCTATAGAACTTACCCTTCAATTAGGTTACAGACAAGTTTTCAATATTTCTATTCGTAATTTTTAACATGTGTGCAACTTCCCTCGACCCAAAGAAAAAATAACACTTTCATGCTATTCCTAAGGAAGACTGCAATTTGTCACTTTTTCTAGTTGAACGTTTTAATAAATTCTCGACTCAATGCTTCATATGATGATGATATTGTATCACCCACAAGGCTTAATTGTCTGTGTTTTAATAGACATAAGCATGTATGCTTCTGTACTATCATAATGGTTCTCAATTGATGAGATCATAACTCATTTGAACATTTGATTTCCTGGGAAAAATTGAACTGGTTCTGAACATCCTCTATTAAAAATATGGTGTGATTAAAAATCAGCTCTATATGATTAATGTCTGTAAGGCAGCATGTAAGATTTGATCTACATTTATCAGCTTCCAGGTGCAACAGCAAGAGAAGTTGAAGCTATAAACAGTCATTTACATTTCACTTTTATCACACATTTTCTGACTGTTTATATCTTGCTGAATTTGGATGTAGCTTAAAGAAGCTATATGTCATTAACGGTAATTATAATACAGCTAATGTTTTAGGGCTAGAATTGATCCTGACCTGAGGGTTAAGGCATTTAACATAGGAAAACCTTGCTGATCCCAGAATATAGAAATCATAGCATGCCTTGGCGAATTTGTTCATTTCAGACTAAATCTATCCCCATATCCTCCAATACTGTTCTGAAAGCAGATACATATGCAGTTCTCCTTTGAAGTTAATTGAAGGAGTATCCACTGCTTTTGTTGGGCAGACAGTATGCTCTATATGCACCACTCTTGTGAGGGAAGGGGTGGTGGAGGAGAAGAGGGAGCAATTCTTCTCATCTCTGGTCCTGCTTGCGGCTTTTTAATCAGGAAGTACTTACATTTACAGACAGAAGTATTGGAGATGGCGATAATACAGAGTTGTAATCCCATTGGTAAATTAAAACAACCAACCATTCAAGAAACATTTTGAATTCATAATTCCACAACAAGAAAGAGGAAGGTATTTGGCCTATATTGAAGTATGCTTGCTTTAAACTCATACTCAGAATGTGGATGGTATTGATAGGGACAGCATTTATTGCCCATCCAAACCCACTTGCCATGAGAAGATTATGGAGGCCTTCTCTTTAAACTGCTGAAGTTCTTGTGGTTGTCCTTCCACAATGGAGTTGCAGGATATTCCTCCCTTCAGGAGAACAAATAAATTAACATGCCAAAGTGAAAAATCAAATGCAAGTATTATTTTGTTGAAGGCAAAAAAGGCTTAGACCTATAATAACATACACAAAGTATCAAAATATCTACTAATGTCACTGTTAGTGAATCAATCCATGGCCTAAACGGGTGGCAAAAACGAAAGTGGAGTAGAAAAAAATTTCAAGATGAGAAGAGAAACCATCAAACCGAGAAGAAAACATTTGGCTGAATGAGGATGCAATAGCCAAACCTTACTATCTACTCACCAAGGAAAATGCTACGTCCTCAGAGTATGAACAGGATGGTAAGTGTTTCTTTAAACAATCTCCCCACAGTACTGTGAAAGCATGTTAATAACATTCACCTTAATTAGCTTGCTAATAGCAGTGTGTGAAGTCATTAATTCATATGAATAAAAGGCCTGTTTCCATATACCTCAGCTGCACTTGAACTGCATAAATTATCATATGCGTTTGATGTCTGCAGAAGTCCCTCTGCATTTCCACTACTTGTTTAATCCAAAATCATTAATAGAACAATGTTCTTCTTTTATTCACAGATGAGTCATGTTCATTGCTGAATCCATCCCTAAGGCTAAAATCCCCATCAATGTGGTGTAAGAGAACCCCAAACTCTGGCAAGAGGAAGTCAAAATCAGGGACTGAAGATGTGCTATCTAGGGACAATGATCCACAGTGTGCCACTGAGTGAAAGGAAGTCTCTTAAACTATCCTCCACAGCTCCTTCTTTGTGGTACACTATTTAAGCTAGAGAATCTATAGCAATGGTTTGGGAGACATGTTGCCATGCCACACAGATGTTAACACTGACAGTACCAGAGCCTGCTGAAGCCATGCTTTATCATTCTGTTAACTTTACTGTAAATAAAATGGTTTTGAAGGATTAGTCATTTTGTCACTGTCTCTTAAAGAAAGTATTGTATAGATACTTCTGAACCCCGAAGGTCATCAACCCATGTTTCTAATGAGAATAAGGCGCTTTGAGACGCCTCGAAGACGTGATAATGTGTTGTATTAAATCCAAGGATTATTATTATTATAAGTTCATCTTGTGAGTCTTCTCGTACCTCACAGCATAAAATCCTACAATCATCGTTTTGCTCTGCTCTGCTCTGCTTCAACGATTGTGAAGTCCAGTGATATGAAAGAGTTTTCACAGCCTTGGATGGATCAGAGCTTAATGGTCTGAACTATCTTTTCTAATTCCCCATGCTTTCTTAAGTCATCAGTTCCATTGAAATCCTGAACCAAATATTGATCAGCAACAGATCTTATACACTGTATTCTAAATGCCATTCGAGAGATTAACAAAAAAATTCTGGTTTTGCAGATGCTGGAAATGGAAGAACAACTGAATGCTACTGATTTTGAATCTGACACCTTAAGGGACAAACTGCAGAATAAAGCAGAAGAAGTTCAGCAGCTTACGGACCAGTTCAGGGAATATCAAGAAGCTCAGCATCAGGTGACCAACGAACTGGATGAAACAAGGAGGAAAGCAAACAATGAGGTACCTGATTGACTTTTGACTAGAAATAAAAAAAAACTAAAGTGTGCAGTAAAATGTTTAAAATGTTGACCATAATAATGATCATTTGATATAGCGCTTTATCACATCACTGAGATGTCTTCACTGAGTATACAGTGAATGTATTGACTGTATTTTTTTGGGTGAAACGCAGCAGCCAATTATACACAGCAGTGTCCCACCATCCTGATCACCAGCATGATCAAAAGTCAAGTTTTAGGATAGAAAGGGGTCTGTTGAAATGATTGACTATTTTGCAGACCTGAGTGTTGTTTGTTTGTTTGTTTGTTTGTTTGTATATGTGATTCATTTTGAAATTGTAATAATTTATTGTTCTTTGGCTGATTGTATTTTGAAGAGAAATTAAATCCCAGTGGTGTGTATTCCTTTCATTACTTTATTGTTCTTTCTATTAATTACAATGGATACTTACTAAGAAGATCAGCAAAAGGACTGAGAAATTTCGACCACATTAAAGGATTGACCTCAGTCATAAGTTTGTGATACTGTACTGTATAATACAATGTTGAAATGAAAAAACTGCAAAAAAGAACTAACCACGTTAGTGAGTTGACTACATTTTCTCTTTGACCGTGCCTTCAACTCCCCTCTCGACTCTCTACCCCCTCCTCGCTCCCTCCCTTCCCTCCCCCTGACCATTTCCCCCCTGCTCGGGTCTTGTCCCAACTGTACAGCGCCTTCGGACGTCCTCCCAACATGAAAGGCGCTCTATAAATGGAATCTTGTTATTGTTGTTGTAGTGGGGTGACCTTAAAATGAGCTTCCACTGTACTCTGTTTCTTCATTGCTCTGCATTCCTCTGTTCTGGACACTGTGTTTTATATAAATCACCTGCATTCGTCTTGTGCAACATATATACAGCATGTTTGAAAGAGATTTTGTTGGCAAGTTTGCAGTATTAACAGTATGAGCTGTCCTGGAGTCAGCCCTGATTTTCAAACCACCTGGAGGAGATAATTTTAAGAGCCGTGTGATTCACACACTCTGCAGTAAAAATATGGAATGTGAGATTAGCACTCTTCCCCCATAAGATATTAAAATTTCCCAGAAACTTTCAAGGAACTTTACTATTAATGATATTAAGATTGCACGATCGACTCTTTAATATCATTAAAATGGAAACACCCCATTTCTGTTTCTGAACATACACCAATCTCTGAAATTGGGATTTTTTTTTCAGTCCTGATTGAAAATGATGTGGAGCAGAAAGTCTAAATTGGGCTTCAATCCTGAAAATATAATCATAGTATAGCTGTCTAGTGAGTTCCTGAGTTGCATGAAATGTTGTTAAAATTACTGAAAATCATCTGCACCATCATCTTTAAACTCTGTTTTTGCTTGAATGCATACACATACCAAAGCCCACAAAGTAAACAAACATATAAAAAGATATGTTTTGACCATTGTACTTATTTTACTTTTATGGACATGGGATAACGTATTTTTTTCTATTTTTAAAAATATGATCAACATACAATAGTTTGAAAGCTGTGGTGCAACTTATGGTATTTTAAATACAAGAAGGCCATGATAAGGAAAACCAATAATTAGCCAGAACAAAATAAATAAGTCCTTGATAAAATGGCTCAGTAAATGGCTTCATATTTGATATTTTACGTTGTACCCATGGAAGTGTAATTGGTATCCTTTAGATACATTTGTTTGACAAATGTGCTGATATTGTGACACACATGATTAGATCACATGAGTATTATGTAGTCTAGTCATTTGGTAGGTTCAATGCAAGTGTTCACTTGTTACTTAGATTTTTACAGGTTGTTCCACAGCTAATTCAACTTTTGCTGCTTGCTTTGTGTGAATGGATTGCTCCAGGAATCTGCACCCCACAATACTAAAATGGTTACTGACAAAGTTGGAAACCTTTGATAAGGACAGAAAGCTACATAGAGTAATAATGATTCTATTCTGGGAGGGTAGTAATTTAATACTGGTGACAACCTGAAATATGAAAGAGAATAATCCCCGATGAAAAAAATCAGGTGATTGTACAACTTAAAAGGCGAAAATATTGAGTTCCTATGATCTAGGAGATTTCTAAATTGAGTTAGATACCAAAAAATTGGGTAAGGCACGGTTTTCAGTATCATTTGATTCTAACAGCAGAAGGATACATTAAACAAGTACCAGAGAAGATGAAAAATGTGAAATCTCTGAGGAATTAAGGCTATCAGTGGATTTTTTGAAGATATTTCAGCTCTAATTAGACCCCATTATAACTAAAGCTGCTGGATGCATATTCATTGAGGGGAGGATGTTGGAGTCTTCTCTTGATATATGTTCTTCCTCCACATATATTTCTATTAAAAGAACTGCTTATCCTTAGCATTTTGTCTACTTGATATAGAATTTTAAATTAATGTAATGTGCTGAATATGGAGTGTGTATTTTTTGTAAAATGTAGTGATTCATTGCTTTTGTAGGCAAACATAGTTTTGTATTCGTATTTTTTGTAATCTTCATGTTTTGAAAAATCTGCAGATTGCAAGAAGGGAAGAAAAAAATTGTACTTTACAGAAGCACATAGAAGACCTGCAGTATCAATATACCAGCTGTTACTCTGAAGTGAGTGTATCCTGTGTGTTTATGTGGTACATGTATAAGTGTAAATGTAGAAATCAGCTTTTTCATAATTGTAGATTTCCATGCTTCTCAATACGCAAGAGAGGCATTTTAGAGATTTGAGCATATTTCCACTTTTCCCATTATTCTCAAGTCATGCAAAGAATATTACACATGGTGAATAATGTTCAAATTATTTGCCTTAATGCACAGAAGAGTATCTTACGCTCTTCTACCACCTGATTTTTCAGTGAAGTTATCCTCTTCATCTGCCTGAATACAATTATCTGTTTGTGTTGAACCCTGAGCAGGTTTGTTTTATGGACTTGAGCAGTCGGAATGAGAATATCCAAATCCATTTCACAAGTACCCTCACGGCCAACAGAAAGACTTTTATAGAGCACGCCCTTTGATTTTTTTCAATACTTGTTTGTGCAGTTGTTACACAATGAAGATGATTTGGCGGAACTGAAGTGCAAGTTTGCTGCTGTTAATGAAGAGTTATCCCAACAAGCAGTGACCCTCTCAAATGTTACTTTGGAGAAGCAGAAGCTGGACACTGAACTCAGTGTTCTCAGTGAAAAAAACACAACAGCACAGAGAGAAGTATGTTTCTATTATATATTTGGTAGCTCAACAAGACTTATTCCCTGCATATGTGACATTCTTTAAATTGCATAAAATTTGGATTCCATTAAGATAGGATCAACCTCTAATTGTTGATCTAACAGGTGAAGTGATTTGAAAGACTGATCTGCATTTCTATGCATTTGGCTTTGAAAGAAGAAATTTATTCTGCTGGATTGTGCCACCATTTCTCAATATTATAGTTGGAAACATCTAGATGCTTATTAATGTATCTTAGTAGGGCATTTCATCGCCTTGGGACGTCCTCCCGATGTGAAAGGCGCTACACAAATTTAATCTTGTTGTTGTAGTCAACATTTGTTCATCTTGAACCTCAGAGGCCGCAAATTTACGCTAGACAGTTTATCTTAACATTTAAGACTTAGAATTTGGGGAAATTCTTGAATTCATCTTAATTTGGAAGATATTCTTTTTAAAACCTGAAAATCTGGCTTCCAAATTAAGTCTTAATTTAAGAAGTCTCCATAATTTAAATGTGATCTTAAATTTTAAGACAAAATGTCTTACATGCTAAGATTAAATGATGTTTTGGGCATCGAAATTCCAGGTTACCTGATCATTAAACTCTGAAGCTGTATCCTGTCTCTGACCAGGGCAACATCTCACTAAATGTATTGTGAAATCAAGCTTCACGTTGATTGAATCTCAGAAAAGTTTTTTGCTTTATAACAGGTTAACAGCAGAGATCAAACCATTTTGAAACTGAAATCAGAATTAAAGACTGCTCAGGAAAACGTCAAGAGTGCATGGGAGGAGGTAAGTCTTGTAGGCTTAGTGATGGATTTCTGCTTTGATCATAATACAAGGTTTCCTTTTCTTAAGGACTGGTGACTTAATTAGATTTTAAGAATCCTGAAAACTCCATGTTCGTAATCTTAAAACCATTGTCTTAAAATGTAACACTGTGCAGAATTTTATTTTCTCACAACTCGGAAAAAACATTGCAGATATTCTATAGTCGAGCAAAAGACTGTCAACATTCATTTCACCCTGCATTATGTACATTTATCTCAATGTAACTCACAAATATTTTCCTCTTGTTTTTTGTCATTGATTATGAATATATGTTCCATTATTATTCCCAAATTTTGAAGACTAACAAACTGAATTAGTACCCGGTGCTTTAGTTGCTTGCCAAGTATATAAGATTCAAAGATAGTTTGTTGGTGGTAAGAACACATATGGACCGAGTGAACTAAAGATGAAATTACCCAATTTGTTAGTCGAAATTTGTGCTGGTGGCACTCAACTAATCGCAATGAAAGATTTGCCCATAAAATTTCACATTGGTGTGGATGAGAACCGTATTCATTTGTGAGAATGATTAACACAGATGAATTGATCTTGTCTCCTTCCTTCATACGTCTTCCTGAAACAGTGGGGCAAACCAACTTGGTGCAATTTATAACATTTGTAAAGTGCTGCGAAGCTCCTCCGGGCAAGTTCCCAAGCAGGACACGTCTGTATTCCTTTCAGTTCAGTGGTTCTGTCAAGATGTTCTCTGTCCAGGTCTGCCATTCTGCTAAGCGTAATGTCGGTAAAGAAGGCGTCAAGATCACTTTCCATTGATCCATGCTCTGAGGAGTATAGATGTGAGCAGAATGCTTTCAACTCAGTAGTGATTCTCTCACAGGACGTGATTAGTTGGCCAGAACCTGTCCCTCAGGGCCAGAATTAGGGTAGAACTGTCCATCACCCTAATAAATCTTGCTTTGACTTCCTTGTCTTCTCCACATGCTTATTACAGTTGATTTTTGATCAAAATAATAACCATTCTGCCTTCTCACTCAGTAACCTTTTAAATCTGTATTTCTTCACTATCAATGCTCTTGTAAGAGTAGGGCATGTCTGCACTTGAGCTCTCTAACCTAAATCATCCTTCCTCTTCTGCCTACAGTGTGTGACATGATCCTTCCACTGAGACAGACTTTAAAGCATTCCAGAAGACTGTATGTCTTACTGTCATACAACTAGGCATTATTCTGGATGAATTCTGATTTCCTGAGATACATCAAGGTAGATAATGTGAGACCTTGACATGCTGCGAATAGTTATGATAGGATTTTACTGTGTCCATGAAGGTGAAGCAATGCTATTTTCTGGACTAACTATTATGAACTAGGATAAGAAGCTATCCTTCCTTCTGATTGAGGTATACCGTGGTATATCATCTATACCATGTTCTAGGCTGTATAATGACAGAAGTGCTTCAAATAATAATGAACGATTTGATAAAATTCCCCTGCAAAACAAGACATAGGAAAGGTTTGTTGTGAGATTCAGAACTGAAAAAAAGGGCTTTGGCATTTGTGGGCACAGGTATTATCTAGTTTTAAGATGGCACACCAGCCTACTTCATATGAATTGTCCAAGACAAGTATCATTCTTGTCATTCAACTTTTCCTAAAAAGAAGTTGACGATGGCTGTGTCCTAACACTTTTTTGTAGGGTCTTTATTTCTGAGGTGTACATCATTCACAGACATAATAGAACAAGAGTGATCTCATGTGTCTTGTACTCTAGCTTGTTTTTATACCAGTTCCTCCAACCTGTACATTTTTAATCTCATATGTGGTACCTGAGCCCATTTGCTATGAAAGTTCTTGGCTTACTTGATTATTGGCAAGGTTTATGAGGGCTTTTCTCAAATTTCAGTAGAAATACAAAATGCAAAGTATAGTTTCCAGAATCCACTCCTTCAAGGTGATGTGGATCAGAGACTTCAACAACTCCTGAGATTCCCACTGAGTTTATTCCCATAACAGTGCTTTTCGAACCCTACACTTCACATTCACTGAGGGTTTTTCTTTCCAACCTTCAGCTTAATGGCTCACCACAAACCCTATTTAATATGGAGTATAACCCTGTGATCTCTGCTTCATCACATGTCTAAGATCTGGCACTCAATAGTATGAAAGATGGAACCTGTTTTCTACAACTTTGTGGTGGTATACGTTGCTGTTTCAGTGGACTATTCTACACATCATAAATCAATGAGAAATATCGGCTTTAAATTACCTTAGAAGCTAGTGTTGTCAAAGCAAGCATTGCATCTCTCAAACTCTGTCAGATAGTAACTTTAAATTTTATAAGCAGTACAAATAATTTATATGAAATGACATCTTCCTCACCCTGTGGATTTGGCTGAAAATTTTTATGTAGGATTTTTTTTAGTTAAATGACAGGTTCTGAAAGCAACAGCATATAAAAGTATAGCCTTTTTGCTTGTGCATTGTACATTTGTGGCTTTATTTATTTATTTGTTTATTCAATTATTCATTCATTTCTTTCATTTATTCATAAGTGCACTGCATTTGGGAAGCTCATTATAGCCCAAGGGCATGTTTCCAAAAAAAATGTGTATGTGACTTGTTTGTAATTATTCTTTGATCAGACTAGAAAAGTTACTCCTTGTAAAATTGAAGGTCTTCTAGACTAAGTAAGGTTGCTGATTACAGCCTAGTTGCTATCAAGTTTGATCTTACATGTTAAAGATGTTAAATACAATAAATTTTCAGCCGCCGACTTGTGCCTTGCCCACTAAATATCTCATACTCATTATATTCTTTTTTACTACATTATGTGAGTTGAATGTATTTTGCCCATAAAATACAGTCAATTCACTTTACAGTCTCATGATAAAGCGCTATATCAAATGCAAGGATTATTATTAATAATATCTAGTTTTTGATTAACGCTAAGAGTGCTAGCAGGATTTTAAAAATTCCTGTCTTAATTTAAATTCTAAAATGTAAAACTTTACTTGTGTTCATCCTGCCATCCTTTGTTTTCCAATCTGTTTCTTTTTTTCCTGTTCTCACATTGTCTTTTTTATTTTAACTTTTCTTAAAACTATTTTCTGCTTATTTTTTCTCCCTGGCTTGACTTGTCTTGTGAATAACTGAAAATGTACTTCATTCCTCCTTGCCAAAACATAGCTTTGCTTGAGGATTGGCTGAGTACCAATGGATTTCAAATTAGAGACGTTGCTTCATCTGCTCTCCTAACAATGAGAAACAAATGTTTATCCCAATCCCATTTTGCACTCAATATTCAAATCGAAAATGCAGAATTTGATGACTTGCAACATGACCTAGAAATATATTTTGAATCAAGTATTGTGTATTGGGGGTTTTTGGGGGAGTGGGGAAGAATTGCTTCTTGAGGTGATCGTATGGGCATTGAGCGTGTAGAGAGTTCCCTATGTCCATTTTCATTTACTGTGAAAGCACTCTTCATTTTTATTCATGGCCTCCAGTAGCTTCTATTCTGGGATTTTGAATCAAGCCAGATTGAAATGACCATGGTTTGCACTAGCATGATCTTTTTTGCTATGAATACTGAATACAATCAAATATCAAATGTAAGGATTATATATTTTTAAAAAGTATCTTTTTAACATTTATATTATTCTGACACTAATATTAAGTGTAAAACAACAAACATACTAGATGTTCAAACAGACTAGATGGAACTGCCTTTCCAACATACACAGCACTAACCAAATTTGATCAATGGATGCTAAGAGTAGTGAAGTTGAATTACATTGAACTACAATTCTGCAAATATATAAGCAACAGTTTAGGCAATATTGATATATTACATCTTCTGAGTTTTAAAAAACCTTAATCTATTTTAACCTATTAATTAAACATTATCAAACAAAAATATTAAAGGAGGTTAACATGAATGCTAATCTTTCAAATCTCTGTATGTCCTGTGGGGTTGGGGGAAGGTCATTATATTGTATGTCAAAAGATAATAATAAAAAAAGTTCTTTGCTTTGTGTATGTAGTTCTTAACTACCTTTAGGGCAATCAATCAGGCTCCTTTAATGACATTGTTATGCACCAGTGTTTTTCCTGTCAAAGTGCTTGTGTATATGAAAGTATTAGCAAATTTTATTGAAGAAGCATAATTGTTATCAGGAATTGACAAATGCATAGATATTTAAATACAGCAAGAGACTAAATACAAGCCGAGGGTTGTTGAGTTTCAACAATGTTAATATCCTTAAGAGACCAGAGTTTCATTTTATTGATGTTAGCAAAGACTTCTTTGTCAATTTATTAACAGTATCTACCAACAGAGTGAACCTGTTTATTCATTCAATTAATACATGTACTTTCCATATCAATATATCATGTCCACATTTTTAAAAATATATCAGTTGAAGTCACTATGTATAGTTAGAGAATTCCAGATAGCTAATAATATCATAGGAATGGAAACCTCTGACTTCAGGCTTTCAGTTTCTCTTGGTGTTTTGGTCAAGAATCCCCCAGAACAAAATGATCATTCACTTCATGGCTGTTTGAGGGACATTGCTGTATGCAAATTGGCTGCCATATTCATCTTCAAATACAGTGAGTACAGTTTATAGTAAAGTCCCATTAAGTACTTTGAGAAGTTTTGACAATGTCATAAGGCACTATACCAAATGCAAGGATTATTATTTATTATTATTATTGGTATTCACCTACAGTATTTGAATTATAATTAATTGCAAAGATGTTTCATATAAAAGACATCTCAAAAAGCTTCACAATTTTTTTCTGTGTACTAGGAAGTAGGAGAACATAATTATGTATTAAAGAGAATATTCAAAATTTTGTACCAAAAGGGTTAATTTGCAAGATTATGGAAACTGTCACTCACTTCCTATCTTCTTCATCTGATCTTTTATCTTTTAAAATTATAACAATTAAAATTGTAATAAAGTGTATTCATTTCTGTCATTCTTATATGGGAAAAATTACGTGATATTTCAAAATGATTTACATGAACTTTTTTCTCATATTGAAGCAACCGCATGACATTAATTTTTAATGATTTCTTTCTGCTTCATTTGCAAAGAGATTGTGGCAACGCATTTTACAGGTAATCAGGCATGCAGCCCTGTACAAAATGATAACCAGTATGCCGACAATTTAAAAGAAAGAGTAAAAAAGGTTGAGGTTAGTGACTAAAGGTGAAGCAGTAATGTATTCATTGCTGGCAAATTACTGGGACATTTGCTTTCTTTCCTCTAGCTTAGAAAACAGGTATGTTTAATCATCCAGGGATATTGGAATTCTGATTGACCAGGACTCTCCTAGAAAAGTGTTTCTTAATTTTGATTGATGAAGCGGTTTATCTTAGACATTTTTTTCCACTCTGCATCATGAAAATGATATTAGAAACTAAATGAGATTCAGAATTTCCTGTTTGACAAGCTTGGTTGATGAAAGGGTTCCATGTCAAGGTCTGACACACTAAAATGATATGCAAATACTGTTTGAGCTCCATTCAAAATTAATCAAGGGGCAAAAAAGCAGACTATCATAGGAGCGTGTTCATATTTCTGGCTCATTTTAAATTGCCAAAGGGTGTTTTCAGATTAGTTAGTTTGAGAAATTGGGGTTTGACAACGATGCTAAAGCTCAGCTTTGCTGGATTTTTGATGACTTAACGCTTTCTTAATTTTCTTTTTTTTGCAGATTTGCTGGCATTTATTTTTATTCTTGTGTTTTTAAGATTGTTGACGACATTTTGATATTCTCTTAATCGTCACAATCAACATTCCCCTTTTAATAAATTAATCTCGCCCAGACACCTTCTTTTTCATCTTTTGAAGACTCATTGCATTGCTTTTTAAAATAGTAATGGTAATATTCAATGCATATTATAACATGAAAAACAACAAAGATGAAGGGAAAAGCAATTTCACTGTTAAGTATACCCTAATTGTGTATTATTACAGAACCATCCATTATATTGCAAGCATACATAAAAGTACATTTCTGATTTGTCTAACAATCCACATTTTTTCAAATATGCAGCTCAAGTGGATGAAAAATAAAAGCATAGGAAATAACATAAGTAGTAGGCACAATATGGAATTGAGTGAATTGGCAGAAATTTGGAATGAACAAAGGTTGGATAAACCAATTGTGGCAAGACATATAGAACAAATGAAAATAAAAGCAAAAAAAAAAGCTGTGTATCCTCTTGGGAGACAGATCAGTTACTCAAAAACAGATGATGAAACGTAGCTGATAAAGAACGTCAACTAAAAATATTGTGGCATTCAACTTTAAAATGTCAATGTAAATAAATTCTTCTGACTCTTCAAACGCTTGATTAATCTGTAACAAGTAGGGAATATGGAAGGGAAACATTTCACCGGTTACATAGCTTGAGGCTTTTTCTTTATTCTCACTTTGTTTGCATGTTGAATGGTAGCATGGTACATTCTCATATGATGATGTACCTCTGAGTATTTTTAAAATGCTCAATATAAAACTGTATGCTTCCATTAATGAAGAATAATGAACAGCTAACTCGTATTGAAAAAGTAGGGCATCTTTATGTCTCTGAAGACACTTACCAGTTACAAATAACAAAATAAGCCTGTACACTGCATATCAAATTACTTCGGCCATTTATCCTCCCAGATTTTTCATTTGTAATGCTTTAATGCAATGTCCAGGAGCTGTGAACTATTAACAGAATCATGTGAAGGATGGATGTTTCGAATGTATTGAATTATGTTCTTGATAAATACTGCAGAAATAAAACTAAATACAACTAGAATCATTATGTTTAGAATTAAGATAATCATCTGTTGAAGACATCTTTGCCAATCAGAGTAAATGAGTAAACTTTAGACTAATCTATTTGAAGATTCCTAAGAATTGTCTGTAAACCCATGGCCCACTTTTTCCTACTTTAATTTTCCCCTCTTCTGAAGGACTGAGTCACTTTGAGTTGCACATTAATCATGGGTTCCCACTCAACTCACTCAGGCCAAACCGAGAATCAAGCCTAAAAGCTCCTGATCCATGCACTATTATTATGCCATTGCAATATAATCTGCGAATAACATACAAGGCATCCATTTTAATGCCTTCCTGCAAATTGTATTTGTAATTGTTATTCATGTTTCACTAGATATCAACTAGCTTAAAATATAATTAATGGGAGGGGGTTTCAAACATAGCAGATCCTGTGCAAGCAGACGGGATCTTGACTCTTATTAAGGATTTTGTCAATGTAGATGGGTGATGTTCAAGAAGGCAACTACTCTACGCATGAAGTAATTTGTCAATTTTTTTCAATGCATTTTCTCTTCCTGATCATATTCATCTTCTGTAACACAGGGTGACCTAGGGAACTTTCTTTCACTCATCTGGCAGTACTACTTTGCTTGGAGACACACACATGAGTAGCTCAGGATGACTCCATCTGTTTTTTAAGATTCCACTCAGTGGCGTAGTTTAATGGCACAATCATTACCAGAAATTTACCTTCAACATTATATTAAACAGTTTGCCATTCAGAAAAGACAGAATATACACCCAGGTGAATTTTGGGTGTGAGCCCTCATGCTCCTCCTCCATATATAATTAATGAAGTTTGATTTGTGAGTGGGGTAACACAATTTCCTCTTTCTCCACAGAGATTATCCCGTTTTCCCTATTCCTGTGTCATTTGTTTGGGTTACGGAGAATGGCACTATAATTGGAATTACTCTCAAGGCACTTCATGATGAACAGTCCACTGAAATTCATGAGATTTAATTATGCTGTATTAAGTTTTTTTAAAAAAAACATTTTTCTCATAAACATATAGCCAATGAATAGAAGCTTAAATTGCCAATGTCCTGAAGGCAGTGCTATTTTGCTTAGCATATATGATTGACAGCCATTGCAGGAATGATTTAGTTACCTACATGGAATTGTTTTAAAATGCAATCTTTCAAACAGTGCTGAAGGGGTTACTGCCAGATGCCATTGGTCGCTATTTAATAGGAAAAGTGGCAACGGAAAATGGGACGTTGCATAAGTTACACTTTATGCCACGGTCTTGTCAAATTTCACTGTGACCTGAGCAACAAATCAAATATTGATAATTGTACCTGTCCTCCCTTGAATCTGAGTATGCGCACATGCCATTTACCTAATTAATTTTCAAAAACCCTCCTTTTATACACAGAGATCAAATATTTACTAAGATTTTTAAAAACAAATTTATTCCACGAATGAAATGCTATCTGAAAGACTTGCCGTGTATTAAAAGTGCAATACGATAAAACTTACATTAAAACGTTAATAGATTGTTGGCATTTAAAGAGTTAGATAAATCCAATACTGGCTGATGTATCTACATTATTGTGGTATAACCTACTCAATGAGCAGCAGTGATAGGCTAGGCAGTAGTTATCCCGCTCCAAAGATGGCCCTTCCTGGAGGAATAAAAAAAAATGTCCTGTTATTCTTCCTAACTGGAATATGTTTTAAACACTGACTTAACAACATTTAATATTTAAGAAGCTGGTGTTAAGCTGGAATCATATATTTTTTAATGGTTTAAAATACATTTTAAACAGACACTGCTCCCCAAAAGATCCAAGTGTTTGATTTATAAATTTCTCATTACTCCCCCATTCAATATGTTCAACAAAAATATGAAGAGTATTAATCATAGATACAAAAATCATTCACATGAATGTTGAACTCTAGCCTTGAGCCTAGTAAAATTGACCTATTCAGAATAGTACAACAACAACAACAAGATTACATTTGTATGGCGCCTTTCATGTCGGGAGGACGTCCCAAGGCGCTGGATAGTGTTCAGCATTTCAGACCCGAGCTGGGGTCAGGGGGGGAGAAGTATGAAATGAACCAAACAAAGTGAAATCACGCTGACTGTTCCTCACTTTGTAAGATTCTCATATATTTATACTAAAGCGACAACCTATATTCTCTTATTTTATAACAGAAACACATACAGTACTCACAGGCACACACACACACAAACACAGATTGACAAGGGCATTGTTCTAACAAAGTCCTCCTAGGTGACAAATCAGTGCAGAGTGTTGCCTCTGATTTTAACATTCATGGATAACACTGGCAATTTTGTGTCTTACCTCTGAATTGGGCAGAAGAAGGACTGGACAACTTAATTTTTATATTTTGGACAATTATGTCAGTGCTGATGATGGCTTTGATTTACAGAATTTACTTGTGTTTACCTGACTGAACAACCGAATTCTGTTTTTTCTTTTCCCCTCCCCTTTTATTTGTGAGTTACAAGCTGAGATTTCTCCATTAGGTTCATTCCATAGTGATCCTTTCCAAATTCACAATTCTTATTTTTTTCAAAACTAATGGACTGTTTTGAAAGAAACACCTAGAACTTGCTGCATATTTGTTTGAAAACTCCCCTTCACTGATACAGATAATATATAAGTAGAATAAGCTGTTTGAAACTAAATGGATCGTGAGACCTTCAAAATTCTGTTTGTGCATCTTTAGAGTCAGAGTCAGGAGAAATGCATGAATCAGCTTCAGAAAGAACTGGAAGCCTGCAAACGGGCACATGAATTGGATATGGACAATTTCAGCCGTGAAAATGCTCAGCTCCGGAAGGAGCTGGATTCTTGTACGAAGGAATTGCAGGAGAGACTGGCCAAAATGCAGCAATACAAATCCACAGTGGACGTGCTAAATGCTGACTTACAGCGCGGACATCAGCTTCATCAAAAGGTGGTAGATGAAGTAAGGCTCAACATATTTTTTCTGTGCTACGTATGGTGTGATCTCTCACTGTGCTGTCCTGTGCTGCTCTATGATATTTTCTTAGTCCTATGTAACTTTTATCTCTCAACTTTTATCCTTTGATGGCTATTAGATCATATGATAAGAAAACGTTTCCACAATATTCCTTTATATCCAATAGTGCCCACAGATTTGAAAGATTGCACACATGTTTACTGTATGAGACCATCATGTGAACCTACAATGGTGATGAGCACCTGAGGAACAAAGACATTTGTTTAGATGGTTGTTTTCCTAAACTATAGGTAATTTCCGATGACCAAAAAGGATTTTCCTGAAAAACAATTCTGTTTCTTGAACAGGAAGAGTATTCTATGAGGGAATGTACCTCTTTTAACATCTCAGACAAACGATTCACAAAAAAACAATCCTACCTACCGTATTTAGAGAAATCATTATTGACAGCACTGAGCTGCACCCTTGAAAAGACCTGACATTTCAGGTCAGGTGCAGGCTTTGATTCTTGCTCAGCTGACGTCAGCCGCAGGCTCCATCCGTCAGCACCTGGGTTGACTCAGTGCAAATCAAGATGCTTTTCCTTCCTAGATGCTGATTTTAAGCTGCCAATAAACATTACTATGTGTTATTGTACACGTTATGTAAATATGGATACCATCCAATGTTTATTATGCGAGATTGTCTGATGTCAACATTTTAAGATGTCTTACTACCATATATAGCCAAACTGCCAATACAAGTTATGTTTCCTTTTCTTTTTGTATAATGTGTGATGTGATAAGTAATCATTTATGACACATGAAATGTCACTCCAGTCAGTCATGTACGATAGTCCAGTGGAGCAGTTGGAAGTTTCAACAAATGCAATCAAAACAAAGTAACCTGTTTTAAACTTAGAGAAAGCAACTATGTCTTATGTGTCCAACAGGTTTCTATAATTTCACAGCCATGAAACCACTGTATTTCTACTCAAAATTAATCACAAGATCAGGTGTCACGCTGGCTCAATGGGTAGAACTCTTGCCTTTGGGTCAGAAAGTTGTGGGTTCAAGCTCTGCGTCAGGACTTTGAGCTCATAGTCTAGGCTGACACTAGCAGTGCTGGGGAAGCACTGCCTAGTTGAAGATGCCTTTCTTTGGATGAACAAGTAAAAATCAGAGAACCATCAAAATGTGATTGCCTATGTTTCTCAGTCCTTGCTAGTCATGGAAACATCTTGATGTTTGTATCAAGTTTATATTTTTAGAATACTTTTTAGAGATTCCTTAGTAGCCTTAGACAACCAACCTTCTCAACTCTACATCTTCACCTTTTTGTGAAAACTGATACATAAAGCATGCATGTTTTTCAGGTGTCCCGTTGTGAGGAAGTTATGCGCAAACAGGAAGTGGAAATGTCTCAGCTCAGGCGGCAGCAGTTTGATTCTGACGACTGCTTAGTTGAAGCCAATCAGAAATGTAAATCTGTTGAAATCGCTCTGGATCTATTTAAGGAAAAATACCAGTCTTCCATGAAGAAGATCACAGAGCTGGAAAGTGCCAAGCTGATCCTAGAGGGTGAATTAAAAGATGCGAACAATCAGGTCAGTCCACGAGGAGAGGACCTACAGTTTTATCTTTCTAGCGTTGTAGAAAATCTACGTGTTCAATGGAATTTGCTATTGCACTATGCTTTTAAGTCTTAGGAGAAAATATGTCACAGTATTTTTGATAAATTGCTGAAAGGATGTCCTTAGACTTCTTTCGCTCCCCAGCTCTCCCCCCCTCCACACTGTTCTAATTTCAGAATGTTATTGGTCTCAACCATTACATTCTGAAGCTGTTGTAAGTTGCGAGCAGAGGAACTGTGAGGGAACTATGGGACTCCATATATACTTACACTACAGTATATGCAGTAATGTGCAATTCATTCTTACAATAATTATTGTTATTAATTCATTCCTGAAAGCATACACAGTCTAGGGAAATGCATGCAGATGCATTATGTACAGAATAATTGATACAGTATATGGGGAAATTACTCGGCAGTATTTAATTAGATTAAGGCTCTAATTAGATTAGCATTGAAATCGCTCTCAGGTATCTATAATTGTTTATAATATATACTATTTCAATTTTATGTGGAAGTGTTATTCAATTTTGGCAGCATTTGTGCCAGCAGCGTCTGTCAGTGCAGGTGCCAAGTGTCCTTGCACTTAACATGTTCTTGATGCATGATGACATTCACAAGAGGATTAACATTTGTGATGTCATTATACCAGGTTTATTGAGGAATAATCTGTCGTGATTACTTGGAATTCTATGTCCAATATACACTATGTAAACGTGCTGTGTTAGCAATATGAAATGCAGTGTACCAAAGAGATTAAAAGGCATCAAAGAGGAGGAAGGAGACTGGAATATTCCAGAACTCAATGGTGTCACTGAAGCTAAAAGTACATTTGAAATAAAAACAGAAATGCTGCAAATCCACAAATGGATCATTATTTTAGATTTTCTGAGGGAATTTTAATGATTCAGGATTGAATTTTAATTGTAACATTGTTGAACCTTAGCTATTGCCCTCCTCAACACCAGATATCAACCCACTGTTTCAGTTATGATAAAGACTAATTTCTGAAAAGTTACCTTTTATGTCTCTCTCAGACGATGATTTGTTGTTTGTGCGCATTTCCAGCATTTCTGTTCTTATTTCCAGCAGCTAATCTTGTGATTTTTAAAATTAAGAGATTTTGTTTATGCAGGAAGGAGGGTTCTATTATAATTACCCTCAGCACTTATTATTTATTCATTAACTTGTTTATTATTTGGTTATTTGATTATGTTAATTTGGTGCTGGCATTGTCAGTCTAGGTAACTCCTCAGAGCCATTATCCCCCAAAGATGTCATCAGACCTTATTGCTTAATCTAATGTATTCATACAAATCAACAGAACAAGAGCAACCAAAGGATGTTATAATTGACCATAAACAATTTCAAATGCTTTCATTTTTAAAAGAAACACTGAATGTCACAGAACACTGGACCTCCATCCTTTGTTCTTCTGGTGTCTTAAACTGCAAATTAACTAAAACTGTCTTAAACACACAGACGGGATTAAAGAAGGAAAATAATATAATAATAATCTTTGCATTTGATATAGTGCATTATCACATCTTCGAGACGTCTCAAAGCGCTTCACAGAATATACTGTAAGGTGAATTGACTGCATTTTTGGGGTTTATTTTATGGATTTATTTCAAGTTTATTTGAACAAAGTATGCATTTGGGATATTTATCTGGAATAACATCTCATTATTGGGCATTTTATTTAATTAGGTCGTCAGTCGTGGTGAAGCTGTCTGTAAAGTTCGGAGCGAGCTTTTTACATTGCAAGGCCAGTGTGAAACCAAGCGCAGTCAAGTGGAAAGTTGTGAGGACACAGTTGTTCAGCTGACCAAGGAGCTGCAGGTTGCAAAAGCTACCCTGAATGCATCCAGAGAACATATTAAGCAGTATGAGGAAGTGATTCACTGCCTTCGGGAAAAAGCATTTCTTCATCGCAGTGAGGTAAACATAAGATGTGGGTATTCACCTGTAGAAGTAGTTGCTGAGCAAGCTTGGGACAAGAAAACTCTCATTTCTACCAGTATTTTGACAATCACTTTTTATGGAGAAGTTAATTTATATAAATCGAGAAATTATTCATTTAATTCATGGCTATTCGTGAAATTTTGCTGTGCACACCCTGGATGCCATGTTTGTCTACAAATACAGTCACTAAACTTGACAGAAATTCCCTGTGAATCATTTTGAGACATGGCTTTTATTGATTTTATAGATTAATCAGTGAAATGTAAGACTCTTCCACCTCTCCTGACAGCGCTGCCTCACAGTGCCACATTTGATCCTTGCTTGCTTCCAACCAAAGTCTCATTGCACCATTCCATTACTGTGTGCATAAGCAAAACACTAGCTGTTATCATGTTGCTATTGAATCATTTTCTTCATAAATTTGTGCTGAATTCACAAACATTTTGCTTTTTATATTGGTTAATCTGCTTTAAAAATGTGAATTGTGCAGTGTGGTCAGTAGACCACTATTGGCTGCTGTTGTTTCATAGAAGGTTTTCGCATTTCACACAAGGCATTTAGGAATGCCACACACTTATGCATTTTGTTGTTTTGTAAACACACTTACAAAAATATCATTAAACAGGATTTATTGGCAACATTAAATGGTAAGGCGAATGTCAGACATTGTGTATCTATGTTTTTTGCCCATGTGAGACATTGCAGCCCAATTTGTGCACTCTCATTATGTGGTCCAACAAACAGAAAGAAGGTTGGCAAACACTTTCCATTGAAGTTGGCATAGAAGTATGGATATTCCTTTTACGTGAACGTGTGCTGTGCGTTTTTCTGTTTTGTCATTATGTGACCTTTGGATCTCTATGTATTTTTGTCAGTTTTATGGATTAATCAGTGAAATGCAAGCAGATTATTCACTGACATTAAAACAAAGATTGATTAGGTAAGACAGCTGCGTAAATTTAGTGGAGCTTTAGAGATTCCAATCGCCGGGTAAAATAGAACGCAGTATTACTCCCTCCAGAAAGCAGCTGACTTGCAGCTGGGGACAATTCAGATTTGCGCAGCGCGGAGGTATTTAAATATGGATGAAGAAGAGATGCAGTCAACATGCATATTTCATGAAAGAGTGAAATCAGAAAGCTCTCACTTCATTAGAATTTTAACATTTCTCTTATATCTTTTTTAAAAGGATTACTATATTTAATTAAGTTAGATGCAAGGAAAGAGAAGCCCTTAGCTCAGCACTGTTACATTAAAGTAAATTCCTGCGGTACTGTTTTATGCCATTTTCCTGAGCTGAAAAGTTAATGGGATTCGCTTAGATTAGAAAATGTTTTTGAGCAGCCTTTACAAGGTTCACCAAAGTCCATTTTTAAGATTTGCTACTTTGAAAATGATGAAAGGTGCTAAACAGTAATGGGTGACAGTTACAATAAATCATATACGATTTTCTAGTCTTCTTTACTTCCCATTTATAAATTATGTTAAGACATTATGAGTAGTGGTGCGTTGATACATAGACTTTGTTAATTACTTTGACTTGTATCTTGTTTATATATTTGTGGAGCGAAATTCCACCTGAATCTAGTTTTATGTAGCACTTCAGAGCTTCCACAATTTGGCATATAATTCTGAGTGTGATAAGAGAGTGTGAATAGCGCAATGGGTTAGGAATTAGCAATGGGTTAGAAATGCATAAGTGTGTGGCATTCCTAAGAACACTGTCCTTTCACTCTCCTTTCAGTCCATTTGATCACATCCTTCCAGGATACAAACCATCTTCTCATCACCAGGGTTTCCCAAATTTTGGTTGCTCTGAAATGCAGCATAAATAGAGTAAATCTAGAGTACCCAAGTGGAAATTCTCCCAGTCAATTTGTTTCATTTCACTGTTGCGCTTTGTAAGAAAACACGTTCCCACCAGAACAAGTCCAGCATCAATCAGTTCAAAGATTATTGGAAAGTTATTAGTCATTGTCATTTGGGAGTTACTATATTTGAGTCTTACATTGGAGTTTCTATAGTTCTGTTCTCCAAATGGCAGAGGTTTGGAGTTTGGTACATAATGTTTTATAAAGTTCTTTGTAATTTATGATGTCCTTCATAATGAATAATCTGAAATCCGATTGCCAATATAACCTTGTTGTAGTTGTTACCAATAAGATAATCAATATCATGCTTTGCATTGTTATATTAGGACAATTTGATGGGCCAAAAGTTCTTATGATGTGGCAATTAGAACTGTTAGCATTTTTTTAAGTGTTTCCTGACCAGAGCACAGTAAAGCTTTATTATGATTTCTGGGGATGTGAATTCAATTCATTCGGCTATGTAGTCCCAAAACAGACACAATGGATTGAATGGTCGCCATCTGTGTTGTACATTTATATGGTTCTGTAGCATGCTATTTGCCTTTTTATTCAATCTAGGCATGGTGATCCTTTTGAAGTGGCGGGTTATTTGTGTAATTAGGCAATGTAGTTGGACTGGGTGAAAGATAATAATTGTTTCTGCACAGAATAGTGGCAATATGGGGTATGTATTGTGTCTGGGACAAGGTAATTTTACTGCATAGGATGTTAGTAATGTGTCAGAGTTGGGTAATCTCAAGCATCTAAGTACTGTAGGACTATAAGTGTACATGTATAAGCAAAAATAGTTGCAGGTTGTGCACAAAGGAACAAGCAAATCCTATTTAAAAATTCACTGCCAAAAATCCTCTTCACGGGAAACAACTACTAGTACGAGTTTATAAAATCAGTGACCTCGAGACTTTTTCTGATCCAGCAGAGGATACAGAATTCCCTAGGAATGTCAAAGCAGGAAGAGTTAAAATTATACTACCTCTTAATTTGCCTTCGGGCTCAGGATTAAATCTGAAAGTTGCAGTAATAAAACAAATCAAAGCCAGAGAATAAGTGTAGTGGACAGCTAAGTGTAAATAAAATTCTTTCTATAGTTGAGGGGAGAGAGAAGCCAGTGACCCATTAAAATTAAGCTTGGCATTTTCTTGTGTTATCTTAGATTTTATATTGATTTTGAACCATAAAGTTATTTCACTATTCAATTTGTAAATATGTCGTCAAGGTAGTAGGCTTCCATTAGTCACATGAAGTCACTTGGACAGTAAAGCAGTATTGATTTGAGTTCCTGTTAGCTGAGTGAATGCCAGGAATGTTTCCTTTCAGTTATTTGTAGTACGAAAAGTGGGCTAAAGTAACTCCTGGGAATATGAAGCAGAAGTCCTTTCAGGTTTTACGTCCCACAAAACATTTCTGTTGAATCTTGTGGCACCGGAACTTGATGCTTGTGTACAGTTGGCGTTTAATGTGGCTGCTGTGACACTTGTTTGATGAAACTTTATACCTTTCCATTTTTGCAGTTTTAAGTCAATGGAAATGCTGTCCCTTTGGAGTGCTAATTTGCGGTGCCATTCAGGAGTGAGATGCAAGTTCACAGCTGTAATTTCCTTCATGGTTTTATTACTGGGCCATTTTTTTCCAATTGCCACAACGGCTTTATCTTTTTTTTACCAATTTTTATGCTGTAAATCCACAGCACTAAGAAAGGGGTTGAAGTTATTTCCTGTGTAAGGTGACTGTTCTCTTGTGACTCACTTTATCTTATAATACTCCTTACATTTGATCAAGCAGCTTTAATGTCAGAAGGGAATCTCAAATCATTTCACAGCTTTTACTGTAAAGTGTAATGTCTGCGTATTTTGTAGGCTAATGCAATTTGCACACAGCCATGTCCCACAAATAACCAGGAAGTGAATGCCCAATCTTAACAGAGGGATTATAGACCAGGAAACTGGGAAAAGGTCATTTCTCTTTTTGGAATAGTGCCGTGGGGTCTTTAACATCCACTTGAACGGGCAGGTGTATCCTCGGTTTAATATCTAACCCAAAGAGTGTAACCTCTGACAATGCAGTGCTCCCTCAGTGCCAAGCTGGACTCAAGTGGGGCTTGAATCCATAACCTTCTGAATCAGAAGCGAACCTGCTACCAGTTGAGCCAGGCTGACGCCCTATTTTGGGCAAAGATTTTTCTCATTGAGGATTGAGTGTTCGAACTTGCTTTAGTTGAGTCCTGACAATATGGTTAATTTAGCATGATCCTATAATCCAGGAATCCTAAACCGATTGTTCCCTTTATGTTACTGTACCTCAGGCTGGGTGATTTTGTGCATTTCAGCTTTTAATTAAATTATAATCTAAAAATCCACAATGAAATCACTAGATTATGTCATTTACAATGTGCAGTGTCTTATTAACTAGGGTACTGTTAGTCATAGACTCTCTCATTTGTGAAATAATCTGAAAATTGCACTGTGTTCTGTGGGCATCTTACATAAATGCACACCTTCTCGTTTATTGCAAAGCATTTAAGTGGCTTAGTTACAGGAATATAGATAAATTTATAACAAATGTATTTTACCAGAGGCTCCAGTGATTTTTTTCTCTGATAATGAAATTAGTTTACATGTTTTTGCAGTGCAAAGCCACCATTCGAAGACAGGTGTGGTATTAAAACCTTGTTAACATTATATTGGAGGTTATCTGAATGATGCATTTATAAATTGTGTTTGCCCTGAAGGTAACACAAAAAAGATTGATTTTTTTCAACCTTTCTAGACTTTGATTTGCAGCTTTGGGTTACTTGTATAAAACATTGTTATTTACATTTGCTGGTAAAGTCTTATGATAGCCGACTGAGTTCATTTCACCAACCCAATGGGTAAGGCGGAACTAACTGATCCAGCAAGCTGATCTTTCTCCTCTCCCACACACACTTTAAATTGATAGCGTACAACAGTTGAAATTATTTGCAATGAATGTTTAGCAAGACCGACCAACCTTTCTTGATTATATTTTTTTACAACAATTGTGGCATAATATTCTGGTTTGCGATTTTCTCCCTTTTAGCCAATTTGTGACTTTTTCTGCTCAGATGATAAAATAAGCATCAGAAATATTTTTGATAAACATTCATTAATAAAGTATCACTTTATTAAGGTTTTTTTGTTTATAGGTAACAAGGGGATTTGTAAATATAATTGATACAAATCAACCATGCATATGGACGCAGGAAACAAGCAATTATTTCTTATAACATTTTGTTGTGTTGTGTTGAATAATGCATTCATCACTTAGCTTCTTTTTATTGTTCCAAAGAAAATAATTTGTCCTATTGCAGTATGCTTGCCTGCTTAAAATCTACTTTGCAAGTGTTTCTTTTATCCATTTTTTTGCTCTGTAATTTTTCCAAATATATTTCCATTCATATTATAAATTGTTTGTTGTTGTGCCAGGAGACTGAGAATTTTCTGAAGTTAATGAAGTTCAAATCTTGATCAGATATAAACTTATTTGCTGGTTCCTGTGAGTTTCTAACATTGATTTTACAATATGTCAGCCTCGGTCTCTTCTTGATCTACTTCACATTCACGGACTCAAGCCTTGCAGCACAATATTCCTGTTAGACTTACAGTATAGGATAAGATTGCATTGAGAAGCGTTTTATCGAGGTTCATCCTGTCCATTATCAGCGAGCCTCGGGGAGATGAGAGGAAAAGAATATAAGGAAGGCAAAAACAATTTCCTTTGAAACTTACTTTATAATTCATAGAGGGTTTTTTTCCTGTTCTTTTCAATCCATTCCAAAGAATAATGTCAATATCCTTTTTAATTAAGAGAATAACCTCAGGTTGTGTTTAACTATTTGCAGGTTTGTTATCAAAATGGAAAGATAAAATTTTAAATGAATTACTTTCCTAAAAGTGAGAGGGGAAGAGAATAATTTTAATTGTGCTGTGTCTCTGATCTCTAATTTTTCACCTCATTTCACCTAAAATTGTTCACTAGATTTAAACGTAAGGTTATAAATTCCTCTTGAAATTAGGCACCTTTGTAACTTGTCTTAGATTTCCAGATTGACAATCTGTGAAGAATAATTAATAATTTAAAAAAGACTCTTTGAATTATCACCAAACTGACAAGTTTCGGAACAGTCTGTTGAAGCCAAACTTGTTACCACAGTATTTTTAAAATCCCATCTAACAAGACAGACTTATCAAAATTACAGTTCAATTACGCAGTGGAAGCAATATCTGTACCTACAAACATCCTTTTCTTATCAACCCTTTGTGTGGGATTGAATGGGGATGGAGGAGTAAGGATCTTTGTGCTCCTATTTTCACCTACTTGATGCAGCTTTTTCACCTACATGATGGAGGCTAGTTTCTTCAGAAAATGCAGTGTTTACCTGTAAAAAAAGAGGGCAAGGGATACCCCGAATTATATCTATAGAAATACAGTATTGCAATGCGTCTAAAGATAGGCTTGCTATAAAAGCTGCCCACATATAGAAATACGTGTAAGCTGTCCAAAGAAACTTCCACAGGGAAAGATAGATAGATGCTTTCCTTCTAACCACATACATATCTTTCATTCCAGGCTACTGAACAGGAAAACACTATTGCAAAGCTCCAGACAGACTTTGCTTCCTACAAAGCCATTTACAGCCACTCTGACAAGGAGTACGAATCTCAGATTATTCATATTGAAAAGCTTAAAAAGGTGGGTCCATGTAATTTCCATGTAATTTCTTTAATGCTTTTGCAATAATTCAGTGTTGTTTTGTGAGTTAATTCAAACCGTAGAACTAAACTGTGGGGCATTATGTGGAACTGCTCTTCAGTTGGATAAACATTAATATAGTAAAGGCAAAATCTTTCATGGCTATGTTAAAAATATACAAATATTAAATACTGCATTATAATCCCCACTTATCAAGCTTTTTGAAGAACCCTGCACTTCAATTCTTTTTTTAATTTATAAATATATATTCAGCTCGGAGCAGCCTTAAGTCACGAATAATTCATAAGTCCACCCATTTCCAAGTCTCTTCTCTATCCCCCCCCCCCCCCCCCCCCCCCCGACACAAACCAGCAAGAACACAGTGGCTAAACACAATCTGCAGTGTCAGCTGTGCCAACAGTCTGTCAAATGCGATAGTATTGGTCCTGCAGCTTGATCGTGTTTGGTTCAGTCTTGACCATTTTACCCAAGGCTTCTGATGCTGCAAGTGCTAATCACTCCACAACACAAAACCAATGACCAAAGAATGAGAGATGTTGAGGGTGGAGCTGTCCCTAGAAGGGTGACTCTTGATTATAATACTGGATAAGACAGGCATGAAAACAGCCCCAGTCCAGAGATGTTGACCTCCAGGGGACAACCTGAATTATAACCAAGTTACTAAACGTGGCCAAGTCACTCTTGCTATGACAAATGTAAACAATGTATTCTAAAAGTTCATTTAGCTAACAAATTACTACCAACATTTTGGTATAATAGCCGTAACCAAGTTACTTTCTATGTTGATGCCAGGCAGCCCTGTTATAATGTAATCATCTGGGTCCAATGCCCCATGTTATAACAAAGCGTAGAAAAATATCCCACTTCCCGGTTGTCACTGATATCACTTCCTGCATGTTATGCCATGCATTCTTCTTACACAATTTCCAACCAATGATAAGATGCAATGTCAGATATAAGGATTATTATTCTATAAGAAGTGAGAATGCTGCTTTAACAGAAAATTATGTGTTTGCAAAACACGTTACATGTCTGCATAATTATATTAACTAGCCAGATGCAAACACATTTTTCATTCCACCAAGTGGATTTTTTCAGCCATACTTGTAATCAGGTTTTTTTACCTCCCCACCCCCTTTACAGAAATGACATTAGAAATTCTGAATAGTTCAGAATTATCTCTGTAAGTTATTGATAGTTATAAAATGCAGAGTAAGTAGGATGCCAGAAATGGATAAAGCCTTTTTAAGACATTTGTGATTGAAGATTGATTGTGTTGCATTTGGTTATTTCTTTACCATTTGGAAATCATTCACTCTTATGTGACAAGAATTGCTACTTTTAAAAATGAAGTATTAGTCCACACAGCAAAAGTTATTAATGTGATATAATGTTGACTGGCAGAACTGACAAATTGGAAGCATCACATTTAAAGTAGTTCCATTCCTTGTAACAAGATTTACAGTGTGTGTTATTGTGCATTCAAAGTCTTGCAAATGAAGCTGATGGCTTTACTTTAAGCACCATTAATTGATTGCTTTCAACTGAGACTCACATGGAGGACCATTTGTTATTGTCCTAAACGGTTTTCTACACAGCCTTAGAGTTGTCATTTTATTTATTTATTGTTTAATTTTTAAGCAGTCATGGTTTAAATATACTTTTAGTGCTTTATCAACTTTTAGTACTAAAGGATCTGAAAATTGACAGTATTTGGTCGGGTGAAATAAGAGATTTGTTTTACAGCATTGTCTTTGTGGCTATGTACTTGATGATCCAATGTCCCTTTGACTTATCTGATTAGATTTCATAGAGTGAGAAAGTTCACTGGCCTCATGTTGAAAGTAAACAATTCAACAGCATATTGAAAAGGAGAATCTGTGTGCATCAAAGTGGGAATATTGGAGTAACCAAGTGCTTTATAACTGGAGTTAACATGCTGAAGCTTGTCACACAGATAACAAGCCATCAAAATGAAAAACGTATAAAATGAAAATAAGAAAGGAGCCAAATAACGAGGATAAACTCCCTTCTCTGTTTGAATAGTGTTAAGGGATCAATAATATACATCTTAACAGATAGATGAGTCCTTAGTTTGCTAATCCATCTGAAACACAGCATCTTCAACAATGCAGCTCTCCCCCATTAGCTACCATGGAAGAGTTGATGTCTTGTGCATCTATATTTACAAATACAAATCTCCATTTATTCAACGCCTTTCATTTTGGGAGGATGCCCCAAGGGATTTAACAATAGCGGCCTGGCACCCGAGCTGGGGGTGGGAGCCAAGGAGGTGGGGAGGAGGGGAAAGGTGACCGAAAGCGTGATCAAAAAGATGTAGGTCTTGAGATAGAAGATAAGTGTTGAAGATTTTTAGAAATCAACTATTGGAATCGACTATTTTCTACAGAATGTTTTCTTCCAAATTAATTGGATCGCAACCGAAGTGTTAGAATTCTACCTCACACATACACAACAAACTCCTGAATGTACTGACTACACACATTAAACACACCACAGCAACAGCTCATATTCCTGAGAGGCTGATCGGTACTCATACATACTTTATTAATTCACAGATAATTAACAGAACCAAAGCAAAATAATATTTTTGTTTTATTACAAATAAGTATTTATAATTATTATATTCAGATTTCTACTTTTTCTTAACTCTTGATTTTGCTGTATTAAATATCATCAAACTGGCCCTGATCAATCATCAATACATTCCATAAAATAGCTTCATTAATCTAGTATAATTTCTTCTCTGCGCCAATTTTGTTGCTTTTGAAAGTGAAGGTAATGTTCACTGATGGCATTAAGTACAGCAACTCATGCGATTGCATAGGGGCCTGAGGCAGTGAGGGTGCACCCTACTGTTGTAAAAACTCATTGAAATCACCTTCCCACCAACCTGTCCTCCTAGGTGGGGGTGGGGGTATCTCGGTGTGCTGGACACCACCACAGCCAATCCGGGACCCCTCCGGGCCCAAAACCAGCCCCCATGCCCCCAGTGCAGGACATCTGCCGACTAAGTTCGGTCGCCCGGGGACCGACTGATAATACTGTTAGGGGCCCCGGAATCGAGCTTTGAGATGTCTCGACGAGGTGATCAGGCACTACATCAAATGCAAGTTTTAGTATTATTATTCATTTCCTAATAGATTGTAGGCATTTAATGGATGGATCTTATGATCTTATTTATATATACATTGAGTTTCGTTTAACATTATCAAACAGTGCTGATAACTGGTAAACATTGGAATAAATTGTTTAAACTTGTGAACATTTATATGCATTTCTTCTACCTTGTACTATCCAGAAAATAGTTTTCTAAATGTCCATGTTTAAAAGTGATTTACATGTGAAATAAGTACTTAAAACATCAAACCTGGCAAAAAGTGACTTGTATTAATCAAAAGGCATCTTGACAAACATAATTCAGAAAGACTGTTCCAGAATTCATGATGATGAATTGGTGTTCCCAAGAAAATATATTGGGCACACATTAGACAGTGTTCCAGTGTTCAGTTTTGCATTATTTGACTCTGTTTTATGTATTTCTTCCTTTTCAAATGTTTGATCTAAAAAAAAGTAACAAGTTCAAGGATGTAGTGAAGGTGATTTAAACCTCAGAGGAAATATCTTTTCTTGATATACCATTCGGTAAACTTTTGGAATTTGCTACTTGACAAAGTTTAATGGATATAAATTCTACACCATACACACACATTTAGTAATTTAACTGTTAGTGTTAACTGTAACTGTGAACTGCATTGAGCATTATCTACATGCGATGCATTGGGAGTAAATATATTTTACCGCACATTTCCACACCCGTTTGGTGGAAGTAAATGAAGCAAACAAATACCTTTAACAAAATAAATCCTATTTTGCCACTTAGATTTGTCACTGTGTAATTATAAATTAATATATGCATGGTCTACTTTCAGGACTATGCATCAGATTTTAATTTCTAGTCACGTAGTGGCAATAAATATGAATAATGTAGAATTATGCTGTGCTCATACAGGATATATGTTGAAATCTTGTAAATTTTCAGTGTGCTGCATGCAGACCTGGATGTTGAATAGGTCATAGGTTACAAGCTGAATTAAATTGTCATGCAATGCCAATCATCCAAATTTTACAGAGATGGCAACCGGTGCTGACACAACTTAACTGCTGTTTTGTGAGAGATTAATCTTCACCTGAATTATAATTTTACTTCTTTTGACATCTTAACTAATTAGTTTTTTTAAAGTGATGACTAAAGTGTAGTGTTGTGTATTAAATGAGAAAGGACATAGAATTCTTGTTTTCTTAACAGGTTTTCTGACCATCTTCGATCGATAACCATATTCAAGCCATCTGTGCTTCTATCCTTAGGTGCTGTTGCGCGCAGTACATGTGTGCCTCATTACATTCATCATCAACACAATTTGTTTTTTTTGTCTGCTGCTCTTACTGTGCAAGTGGACTCCAAAGTTCAAATCATCTACAAAATGATATGTGGTCAACAGTGGAATGGTTTTCATTTTTAGTTTTTTTTTCTTTGTTGCCTGTTATAAAAGTTCCAGCATTTAGATGTCAGCTGGGCTCAGGTGGTAGCACTCTCATCTCTAGGTCAGAAGGGGATGGGTTCAAGCCCCACATCAGGGCTTTCGAATCATAATAGGCCGGCACTCCATTGCAGTACTGGGGGAGTGCTGCACTGTTGGGAGTATTGTCCTTCAGGTGACACATTTTCTTGGATCTTATTTTTCACCTAGTGAAATGGAATGTGTCTTTAGTGCTGAGTAAAAGTTCCTTATTAGTAATGATTTCTAGTTAAATTATTTCTCCATTTAAAAGTTAATGGATGACTGGTCTATTTTGTCACCAGGATATTGTACATGTCAATGATGAGATTTCTGAATATGTTCAGCAAATCAACAACTACCAGGTGACGATGCACAAGATGAATGCTGAGATATCTTCTATTACAGAACAAAGGAATAACAGCATTAAAGGTAATATAAAACTATTTGATTATAAATGAGCTACTGTAGAATCTTGCATACATCCAATTTGGATTTTTTTAATGTTATTTGCCTTTTCTAAGGTCATTATTTAAAAACGGTTGTTTAACTAATTTTAATAACAATCTTAATTTGAAGTTAGATAAAATGATTTCGCCATTCTTGCCATATACATTTTTTGGCTAATCAAGCGGACAGAATCCATGAACATTGGAGAGTATACATAAGAAACAAATAGAGTTTATTTGGTTATTGTTCCTTTGGAAAGAAGTGCCATCTTCAAAATGATTCTGACCATGTTTAAATAAACCATGTTGGCCCTCAATCTAGCTTGAAAAGTCTTCTTGTAGATTATTCTAGTAGTTGGTGAAACATTTCATAGATGGAAACATCTTAATCCTACAGAAGAAACATAGACATCTTGTTAATANTTTTTTCTTTAAGAAAGAGTAGGGTCTTTTCTTCCATCCCTTTGGAATCCTACCTTTGTTGGATTAAGAGAAGCAGTTTGATGTTCCTTCCACTGTAGCTATGTAACTTTAGTACTGGTGTCATGGGCAGAAGTATTATTGCAGAAAAGCATCTAGCATTACTGAATTCCCAAAGCCACACATGAAGACTAATAGGAAAGCTAATATCCTAATTTATGTCTTCAAATAGATAAGACCCTTCATTAGAGAACAATGATTGCTTGTAATTAGTAGACGGATCATTAAATTCTAGTGACCCTATTTGCAAAGAGATGAAGCATTAATGTGTGGTAAAAATCAGCATTCCTAGAATGAACTGTGGCAACTGCCACAGCTTGACAGTTATGTTATCTTTGTACTAATGGTCACAATGTCTTTTGCTGGAATGCAGGGCCTCCAACTGATTAAAGGACTCAGCTGCTCCTTATGGTATAATCAGCTCTCTATCCATTATTCTAACATAAAATATGCTAGAATATTCATTACAACCATAGTAATCAACCTTTTTCTATTAAAATACTCGACTATTTATAGCCATTTGTGAAAGCAACATGGAAATCAGGAACACAGAACAAAATAGGTAACTCAGAATAACCCCAATAAATCATTATCAATTTTCATCAAATTCACCAATGACATACAGTAATATTTGAACTTAAATTGCATTTAAAGATGTGGCAAGGTTGGAGAAGGTTGTCCAAAACCTACAACTTGAAGTGGCCTCTGAGGTGCAAAAACACAAAATAGAATCAGCCAAAATGGAACAGCACATTATGCGATTGGAAAATGACCTCCACAACTGTCGCAAGTCTTGCATGCAACAGGAAGAGGTGAGGAGTTAAAGGACAGGTTTACAAAGGTTCATATTGCTGATGGTATCATTGTAATATGTATTTCATTCTTAAAATGAGGTGTAACTTATCTTGTAATAATAATAATCCTCACATTTGATAGAGCACTTTATCACGTCGTTGAGATGTCTCAAAGCGCTTAACACAATATGTTGTATGGTATATTTGCTGTGTATTTTATAGGCAAAACACGGCAGCTGGAATTAAAAAATGTATTTAATGTTGAAACTGCAATTTGTCTATTTATTGCCATGCATAGATGTAAAGTTCCAGTCAGAAGAGGTTCAAAGGAATAGACTTTACCCCAAAGGCAATATTTTTCCCCATGCATTACAAATGAGTGGGAAATTATGCTTGTGAGTGTTTTGATTAGGCCAATTTCTGGAGTACCAAGCTCGTATATAAATGTATCCAGGATTCTATCTGCCTTATCAATGTGTATTTCCCAAGAACATACCCTCTCCTGAGAGCTATACTAATCCAACTTCTGCCAGCTAACGAATTGATTGCCTGTCTAATGATGTGGAAAAAAGTCGTTAGCAATTTAGCGTAAACAATGGTCAAAACTGATACTAGCCAGAGGCAAACTTGAGGCTAATTTCCTGTGCAAAACTTTACTATTTAGAATGATTGGAAATGAACAGCAATGCGATGGAACATATCATAATTAATACTTGACTTCTTAAATTTTATATATTTTTTAAAAACACAACAATAGAATTTTGTGCTAATTAGATAAGATAAAATGAGTGTATCTAATAATATGTTGTGTCAGAAGCAAACTTGACATTATTGTAAACAAAGCTTGACATGGAGAAAGTTTACAGACAACTGGGATTTAAATACGTCAGAGTTAGTCACAAGTGGGCTTGAACTTTATTTCAATACTTTTGCTGTTTAAATATTTCATGACACAAAACATTAATAATTTGTCATGGAAACAAATTTAGCATTTAAATTGAAAACTTTACAAGGTTTCTTTTTTAGGATTGAAAGCTGGATACAATTTTTTTAATACCACTTTAAAGGAGCAGAACATAAGAATACAATTAAATTAAAAATTCTGCAGAATTTTGTCCTTTTGTCTCAGCAAATCCATTCTCTTAATTAAGCTGGTTTTGTGATGTAAATTATAGCCTGGTGTAGATAAATATTATTTTAAAAAAGGACTCACTTTTTTTGAAACAAACAAATTATTTATTCCAAAATATTAATTTGAAACCCTGCCAATAAAGTTTGTAAAATCACTGCTTCTAGCTATCATTGATTCATATTTCAGGGCCATAAGTTACATCTGAAGCTAACAATCTTTATCATAGGCCTATAGCTTTATTCCTAATAATTCAGCTCTTCTGGGATGGATGTGGTGTTTGAGGCTATATATTCATTTTGATCTTTCTGTTTTTAGCCTCTAATGTGGCCTCTGATGGGTATTATCAACTTCTGATCCAAGTGATTAAGTATAGGTTTTGGGCCCCTTAAATAATGCCCTTAGAAGTGAATTTGCACTCTACTTACTCTCTTTGGTTCCCTCCAAAGGCAATACAGAAGAGAGATGACCTCTTGAGGAAGTCTGAGGCAGACCTGCTCCAGGCCCGTGATAGAATCAAAGGGAAGGTGGCAGGAATTGAGAAGCAGAACACTATGGTAAAAAGCCTGGAGATGGAGCTTCAGAGACATAAGAAGGAAAAGCAACAAAAAGAGAATGAAAATACTTCCCTCAAGGCTGAGATACAGCAGCTGAAACAGGAGCTGCAAGAGGCCAACAAGCAGTACAGACAATCCGGTAAGGCTTGCAGGAAATTACTCGTACACGCTAAGAAGAAAATATATATATATATTCACACACCTAAACAAGACTTAAAATAGAGAATATCCTAATTTGTTCATTTGAAAAAAAATCTGGTTAAAAATATATTAACATGAAATTTACAATGTTTGAAATGGAAAATCTATTTCCCAGAAATTTACATGTATAATTTCAAACTCAACAAGATTGTTCAGTATGTTTTTCTTTTTTGTGTTCATTGAATTACCTTATAATATTGCGAATGGTACTAAAATACTTGATAATCCCCATCATACAGGTGATATCATACATTTGCTGGCATCACAAATACTTATCATCTGCCGATTGTAATATGTAACCTGCCCCAGGTGTTCCTGCCAATTTGGCTACGATATTGATTTTTCTCTGCAGATTCACAAACTGAAGAATACTGCAGCAAAGATACTTGGAGGCAGCCTAGAGTAAAATCAGCCTCTTGTTGCTGTGGGCAAACCTTCACCTTGTACAACTTCCAAATGAAAGTATCTGTAATACAAAATGGATGCGTTGATATACAGTTCAATTGTTCACCAAATTTCTTTTCTTAAGTACTTTTGCAGGATTCTTTTTATGTCCACCACTCAAAGTCACATTGGGGATAATAATGCATCAATCAGTGGCAGGATATTCATGCTATAAGGCACTAGTCAATAAAGTAAGATGCAGTCCTCATAGCAAGAGTGTAGGCGCTTCCTCTCCCTTTAAAAGTGCTATAAGTAGAAGTTGCTTTAATTTATAGACTGAAGGGTCAGTTGTGTGAAACACGTTGAGGTGTTATATATGCTGTTATGACCATAAGTGAATAATTCCATTCAGGTAACTGTTCAGAATTTGAAAATTGTCACAAGGTGAATACATACTGTTTTCACAGGTACACCAGACTTTTGGAACTCTCTGAGAGTTTCAGAAAGTCCAACTATAACTTCTTTATAGAAGCACAGGCTTTGTCTGTGACTGGTCCCACCACATTACCCTGAGGTAATAACACTTTCTCAGGGTACAGACACTATCTATGTGATCTAATGTGGCAATTAATAGCTGGCGTCTGTAAGAGCTTCTCCAAGAATTCGCAAATGGTCAAACTGCTACAGCTCCTGCAACCATTTGATGCAATGTTGATTAATATGAGGGAAACGTGATCTATAGGTTGACTTTGAAGTCCTGGGAAAGTACAAGCATTGCTGTTTCATATACGGGATGATCAGAAATCTGATGCAGAGTAAAACTTCAAAGTATCTTTCAGCATAAGTCTGCCCACTCTACTTTGTATTTTGCTCAACCCACGTTTGTCTAGGAACTCTATTCATACACTGCAAGCTGAATCTTGCAGGAATGCTTCCAGCTGTCGAGCAGCTAAAGCTTATGTGCTATTTCTTTAATCTGTTTGAGATATTTCCCTTCATCAGTACAATATGTTTTGTGTCTGGTAAGAGGCACAGTAACAAGACTGCAACTATCAACCTCAGTTCATTTCTGCAGAAAATTTATATTTGTGAAGGTTTATACTAATGCAATTCCATCATAACTCAGAGCTCAGTTTATCATAAGTAATCGGTTACTATAAAACACACAATTTAAGCAAACGTTGATAATCCTTGATAATCGGGATAATTCTCCTTGAGAATCAGAAATATATATTCCTATTTGAACTGTTTTGATGTTAACTACCACCATATTTAGTCTAGGGAATTAATTATAGAAATGTATTTGTTGTAAATGTTCTATTTTGTGTTTTATCTTAACTGCAAGGAAAATTTTGTTTTTCTCGAATCAATCAAAACTACTTTAAGCAACTTTTTAAAGTCATGTTTAAAGATAACTCGGTGGGCAAAAATTTTTCAAAGTTAGTGAGGTGTACAACTCAAAATGGAACATGTCGGGATATGTTTTGGTAGAGACGAAGGTTGTGAATGATAAAATGTTTCAGTGAATCACCCTTTATTTATTCCTCAGTAGATACCTTTTCAGCTTGGAATTTTGATAAGTTAACTCCTAGAAATGACTTGTTAATGTGTTCTCTGTATTCCCCTTTAGGTGATTCTGCATCTTTTTTTTCCTTGACTATCCATTTACAGTTTATCCATAACAGTGCAATGCTTGTAAATAAGAGAATACATTATAACAGAATACTATTTTGAACCCTATTTTCTATGGTAGTGATGGCAAAGACAACAGAGGGTTAAGAATTGCATTCCATCTTTTGTAAGAACATAATCTGGGGTTGAAGTTACAAATCTCCAAAAGTCCCATGTTGTGTGTTGAGCACATCATGGTTACCCTTAGTAACACTACAGTAAAAATATTTATGTTCTATTTTGACTGCTGCAGATCTAATCTCACAGAACTTCAAAGTTTAATTTATTTTTAATTTCTGTTCCATGTTACCTCATTTTGTTATGCTATCCTGTGCCAATTATTCTCCTATCCAAGGAACGAGGAGTAATTTGCTCCCAGATTAACGACTAATGACTCACAGTAACGAAGAGGCATTGCAGAAACGGGGCCCAAAGTGACTCATTTGACAGTTTTTCCTCCCTTTCTTTCCTCCCTCCTTGGGGAATAGGTTTCATACTGTGCTTCCCTTGCCATGTTAGCCTAGACAGAGAGTACTACATATGCAGATTACTGGATGTGAAACTCTGACCTTGTCACTCTTCATGTGCAAATCGTTGGTTTTAAGTCTGCTGGCCACTCGACCTCTTTGCTCTGAGGTTTTGTAATTATTGATCTTGTGCGTATGTAAATTTCACATGCAGGTGACCTATTAAAAGTAGTTTTTCTGTGCGGCTGCAGAAACACACAAATTAGATGATAACTTACTTACGATTGTGAAGACTTCCCATTGTTATCCTTCGTCTTAAAAGCATGTCAAATTGGTATAATTCTTAAACCTTGAAATTGTTTGCAAAAAAATTATGTGACACAAGCTGACATAGATGAAAGAATGCATTCAGCCATAAAATGGACACCTTCAGCTTATTGTTATTAATAGAATTTAAGTAATAACAACTTTGAAGGACAGATCTACACCGACTTGCCTATTCTAAAACTTATGTTAAAAATGGTAAAGGGTAGTGACTGGATTTATAGGTAAAGATAATCGTGTCCTGAAAGTATATTGTATCTGATGCATTATAATGTAAATTCACAACAAAATTCTTATTTGAAATTGCAAAACAACAAATTTCTTGCCTGCAATGATATGGCTTCTTAGTCAATTATTGTCTCCTTCTTAACATTCAACATGATGATTCATCTTTTAACAAGTTTATATAAAAAATTCAGTTTATAACTAGATAATCATCAGTCCATGCGTGAAACTCGGATTTAACTGATTTGGCCTTGTTTACTGCATGCCCAAACAGAGATGGGAGAGAGGCCATGAAAGAAATTATCCTGTGGAACTGAGAAAACCTTGTTGCTGTTGATCAAAGAAAATCTTAGGAAATGTTCCAACTTGCAACGGGAAACAGATAATCTATTCTCGTAGGAAATTTTGCAATAGAGTAGTTTACCATTTGCTATCATTGCATCAGAATAAATAAACTAAAATATAACTGCAGCGAATGGTTCATCTAGAAAAATAATTTTGCCTAATAAAAAAATAAGATTGTTTTTAAAAGAATATTTTGTTAAACTGGAAACCAGGCTAATTGTGTTCTTATTAGTTGTTGTAGCTTATCATGATACAGTAATTGTCTCCCAAATTTTAATATTTAACGTAACTTTTGAAAAATAGCTAATTTAACTTAATAAACTTAATGTTTGTCAGAAATAGATCTGAAAATCTGTTGAACTTTATGAAACTCATAATAAATAAATGTGCTTTTTGTTTTCACCTTGTTTGTTTATTTCAGCAAATTTAAACAGATGATAATGGCCATTCAGTATTTAAACAGAAAGTAATAAAATAAGACCTTACAGTTTTCAAGGAGATTTCAGTTAATCCTCTGTGGAAACTAAAATATTAATACAAATGTATACTTTAAAAATAATATTAGCAGCTCATAGAGTGCTTGAGGTGAAAGATTAAAATACATCTTGGACGTCTGTTTTCCCTTAGCTTATTCAGTTAGTACTTGCTTATGTCTAAATAAATGAAGCTCTTAGAATATGAATGTTCACTAGAAGTACTTCATTTACTGAACATGCCTACCTTGAATGCTCGCCCTGTACACAAAATAAATTCCTTTGCCCCCCCCACCCCCTTGCTACTTTTCACTAAAGGTTCCCCCTTTTGTATCTTTACCTGTCTATTTCTAACAACTAAATACAAATATTAATAAGTTGCGTTTACCAGATATTGAATTGTTATAATTGTTCTCAATATTAATGTCTTTACATCTCAAAGCTTTGGCGATTTCGACCTGCAGTGTCTTTGTGATCTTGTTTCCAAACCACATTTATCAGTTATACATTACAGAGATACGGCAGCTCTTAACCTTTTGCCTACAATCAGAAATGTCCTTTGCTGTATTGCAAATCTAGTATTGCCTCAGGCAAAGAATTGATGGACCTTTTTATTTCTTACTATCTAGCCCTACTAACAAGGGATGGGATTTTGGAGCTTATTAAAGCTACCCATGGGGCGAGGTCAATCCTTAACAGACCTTTGAGAATTTTTAAAAAAGCATTAGCAGTTGTGATTTCCTGTTTTTATTTCACTTTCTTTGTTTTTCAAGTTCAATTTATTTAGATTAATTTAACTACACAAGTAACTGCATATGATCAATTTTAAGACGCAAATGAGCACTGTTGTTGATTCGTTCAAAGACAAAAATCAAAATCTTTGCTCAAAAATCAATATCTTACAAGAGAAGTGCTTCACACTCTTCCCGTGTATCTCAGTCCTACTAGATGTTTTGCCCTCCTAATGATTTTTCCCTATGGGCCACATCTCCCCCCGCCCCCCCCCCCCCAGCTGTACTAAGGCACTATTTTATTATTACGCCCCCAGGAGGAGGAGTGGAAATGGAGTAAACGGGGAATTTTTCTGCTTCTACGTACCTTTCGATTAAATTTTTTGATTCATTCAACAGAGATTTATGAGCCGGGCAAGTTCAGTAACTGTCCCCCCTAACGCCTCCTTCGGGAGCTGAGATGGTTGGAGGAGAACCTCATTACTGAAGTGAAACAACAGTAGCTGACACCCCCTGTTGGTGGTTTATTCTGTTCACATACCATGTGCGTTACTTATCTGTTCCTGATCAATTTTTAGATCACACAGTAAACCACTTTGGAAATGCATTTGAATCCTGCACAAAACCTATTGCCCGCAATGGACAAGCATAGGAAACAACACCGCAAAATATTTTGTCTTTTGTCTTAGAAATTCTATGTTACCTTTACCCATCTTAACAAAAGCAAATTTCAAATCTCAGTTTGAATTTTCGCTTCAATTTTCGGTATTTTAAGTCAGGTCGATAATCACAGTAATTTCTTTTCTTTTGCTTCTGCAATTTTTTTTAAATTGATGATCATTCTAAATCTACAGCAACTTCATTAGTTCAAAATTGTGTAAAATGGAAAATGTTATTCTTTCAAACAGCAATATTTAAAACAGTTTTATTATTTAAAACATTATATAAAATGTTGAATGATTGATGTCTTCTGGACCAAGTTCCTCCAGAACTTATTGTACAACTGGCTGATCCAACTTCTCAGTACAGTAGAGGCTTGTCGCTGTTTTTATTGTTTATGTTATTTTCATACGGTTGAATTAACTGGAATATTTAAGCAAGGTCTGGTCTGCTTATCAGATTTATAGTACATAAGACATTGGCAGCAGGAATTCCATTAAGCTGGTAGATAGTGTACAAGTTTGTTGCAGTTTAGAGGGGAGATATTCAAACTATTCGTACTTAGCTGCTATTAATTATTTAATAAAGCTATTACGCTCTATGCAAGTGATAATATTTTAACAGTAAGAATATTCATTCAGCACCAATTTATATATTATACATTATATATTATATACAAGTTTATATATTCGCAAGTTAACCAATGTTGTTCAAACAGGGAAGTATTTGTAAAAGATGCTGTCACAAATTATGTTTTCTTGTGCCAATGTCCAGTTATAATGGATGTGTACTTAAGAACAAAATTGGTTTGTAAAGTATTTTTAGGAGACTGCCTGTGTCGCTTCATTACATTTATGACCGTATATGTAAAAGTCCAACATAACAGGCAACATCTATAACTCCCAAAAGATCTATTAAATTGACAAATTGTCATGACATTTTGTTAATTTTAAATATTTACGTGCCAAACTTGTTGGAAAATAGCAAAGAGTTTCACAAAATTATTGAATAAAGTAGATAATGTGAGAACACTGGAGCCTTGGGATGAATACTGGCCAAATTAAATTCAATCAGCAGGTTTCATTTTATTTTGGAAGATTTTGTCAAGTACGACTGACAAATCATACATTTTGCCAGCATTATAAAATCCCATTGTTTTCAAAAGGATTCTTAGATTTTAAAAAAAGGATAAAAATATTTAGGACAAACAAAACATAGTGAAATAATTGCAAAACAGCGGCATGATTGAAAAGGAAAACTTTGCAGGGCTATGGGAAAAGAGCTGGGGCTAATTCGACAATTCTTTCAAAGAGCTGGCACAGGCACGATGGGCCGAATGGCCTCGTTCTACGCTTTATGATTCTATTTATTGACATGTTTGCAATTTGTCAAAAAATGTTGAAGTAGAATTCTTTGCTGGACTTCCAATAGTGCAAGATTTGAATGAAGTGCACGGTGGACCAAAACTCTTTTATATAAACTTGCTCTGGTTATAAGTGATAAACAAATGATTCTCCAAATCAAGAAAAATGAATTCCCATAGAATTCCCAACATCTGTGGCAACTTTATCAGCTAGTAGTCAGTCTTTTTTGTAATTGAAAAAATAGCTAAAAGTGAAACAAATTCAGAAACAAATGTTAAAAAGAAAAATCCAAAAACAGCAATCCTGGACATAGAGCAAGTTGCATAAGAACATAAGAAATTATACACGAAAAAAAACCACAGTCCATCTAGTTTGCCATCCACCTTCCTGGTAGTCACATGCACTTATGTCCCGAATTACCTATGTACTATATCCCATAATGTTAAGTGTAGTGACGGTGTATTTTGTGGGTGAAATGCGGCAGCCAGTTCCGCACAGCAATGTTATTAAGCGTTGATCGGTCATTGAACTGTATGTTAGTATATGGTATGTTTCCTTCACAGCGCAGGACCTGGCACATCATGAGGAAAAAGTTCTCCTGATGGAGAGCAGCCTGCAGACTACACAGGACCAACTGAGCGATCGCATTGCAGAGATTGTACGGCACGAACAGACAAACCGCAAGCTGCAGGCCGAGCTTAGGACACTGAAAGAACGGGGACTGAGCAATGACAAGGAGATGGAGGAGGACAGGTAAAGCATTTAATCTTAAGGATAACTCCTTAACAAGAAAAATAAATATATCAAAGGATGGCTGACTGACTCAGAATGGTCGTTGTAGGCAAATTGACTTGAATATAGAAATACAGTTAAAGATCAAGTAAATTAATAAATAGGTAGTCTCATGCAAACCACCTTCTGATATAGAGAAATGGATATTAAATCCATTGTGGTGGTACGTATTAGAATTCCCTGTCGAGCTGTTGCTGGGAACTATCAGTTTCTAGAAGTACAATCCCAGTAGTTAATTGCTTATATTTCAGGATTAGTCAATGGAAGTTTTCTCTCCAAAAAGTGATTAATTGAGACCACTTTTGTTCAAAAGCTATGCCTCCTAACCACTATTATTTTAGTAAATTGTTTAATTACATTTTTGATATTTTTTTATAACATAAATATTCATTTGTAGTTTTCTACACCTGTATTCAAAAACATGATTCGTAATCTCCTAAACTAAGATTTCAGACATCTTCATCATTTCATTGAACTTTTTTTTCTGCTTTATTTAAATCTTCCATTCTACACAAAGGTATCAATAGCAAATGGGTACACATTTAATCCTTTCAGTTAAAGCTTTTTAATAATCTGGAATATTTGAACCATTAAATAATAAATATTCACTTCGCTGGGTTACCAGAAAGGCAAGATGACATTGGTAGGGAATGCTTTCCTATCATTATTTAAAGAAAAAAGGATGTCTGCACAGTCAGTAAACGGAGAAGTGTTAACTACACGATATGCCAATAAGTATTAGGTCGGATTTAGTAATTAAATGATGGGCTGAAGAATAAACTGGGTATTTGTCAAAGCTGAAATAATTCCTTAAGTATCTTCTACTACACAGCTGGCAAATGTAATTGCTCGTGTATTGATTGTGCTTTGTGTAGGGCTGGTGGCCTGGGCGGAGGAGAGAGGCACTGGGAGTCAAGTGTATCGATTAACCGTTATAGGAGTTAGTGGTTTGTGATGTTCTGTTTGTTGTTTGGACTTTTCTCGGTGAGAAATAATTCTTTTGACAGAATGAATGAGTAAATACATTGCAGCATGAAAAATAGCTCCTCGTGACTTCACACATTGTTATAGATGGGACATTTATCTACTGCATTGAACGCTTCCCGAGGAATACTCTTTAACAATAACAATAAATGAGAATGGAATTACCGCACAGATTTTCAGATCAATGACTTTTTTATCCTACTAGAACTGAAGCTTTTGGCTGTACTTAGAGAAAGACTGTATTAAGGATGTTAGTCTCAGAAAGGCAAACATTGTTTGGGTTGCTGGTCTGTGTAGAGTATCACTGTATAGAATCACACTCATGTTGTCATGCAGTGAGTTTCTTCTCATTTCACTTGTTAGGAGAAATGATAACTGATTAACCGAGTTAATTGATCTGGAAGGGAGGTAGTGGAGAGCTACCAATGACCTCAACATCCTGGTTTGGTAAGACGGGGAAGAGAGTGAACGAAGGTTCAGCTGCTGAGCACTAGCCGTAGACATCTATTCCCCTACTGGAAAGTCCACATGTGTGTGTTAGGTAAGGACAGGATCAATTTTGGGTGTGATGCCCTGTGATTGAAATAGGCCGCTCACACTTGATGAATAACAAGTCAGGTCCTGGAGGTCACTCAGTGCCTGTGGAAGCATTAGAAGAAAAAAAAGTCAAATGCCTTAAGGGGAAAAGGAGGGGAAAATTAGATAAAGAACATACAAGAGCATGCCTTCTGTCTTTTTTAGTAATGGACTGGACAACCTGCAAATCAATTGTATTTATTTATTTATTATTAATATGAAACATCTATTTCTATCTTTCACCTCCTTGTATAAGAACATTTCTTGGGATTACAACAATTGATTTTGAGTTATACGAATAGGGCTTAGCATGTTCACTCTCCCTACTAAACCTTTGATCCCACCATTGAATCTTAATTTAGTTCTGCACAAACTGATGCAGTCTCCCTTCAATCCTACAGCATCAGTACAATTTTATCATAGAAAATTACATTGCTCCTAGCTATGTTTTCCACCACGAGGATGTTCAGACCTCTATTGGTGTAAAAAGGACTGGTTTATCCTGATGACACAAGGTAGAAAGCATTAATGCCACTGCAGGTATTTTTGACAGCCTGAGGTATCAGCATGATGTAAGCAAGATCATAGACTTCAGAAAATTATTATAAATTGTTATGCTCTTAACATCTCTAAACCGAGTCCTCTGCTGTACTCTTTGTCCATAGTACAATGAATGAAGGTATATATTAACTACCTAAGTTGTGGTAGTCATCACTTTCAAAATTAAGCTGCACTTTGAATACTATACTCACTGCTCTCCCTCGATGCAATGGTAATTTATCAGTCTCATACCTGAGTAGTCAGTCAGTCCACCTCAACCCACGCTGCTAAAAGGCACCAAGCTATCTAACGTAAAACAAATTTTTCCACCAGGGAGTCATTGGAAATGAGCTTGAGAAGCTATATTCTCGTTCTAAATCTATTTTGGAGGAGTTCCAGATGCTGAACAAATTTGTAAGCTGGAACCTGTCTTGCCTCCGTATGTTAGTATGGGTTTGAACACAGATTTTTTTTTAAAAAAACATAAAATGTAGATATCAATTAATATTTTCATGTTAAAACAGAAAATGTCAAAATTTACAGCAAGTCAACAAAATCTAAAAGAGAAACTTCGACAGGGCTAGCATCCGAGAAAGAATGTCATTATCTTTATCTTTCATATGCTGATTGACTTGCTATGTATTACAGTTATTTTCTATTTTGATTTAAAATTTCTAACCTTTGCTATTTTTATTAATATTCTCATGGAATTGTAACCATTGCATCCATGAGATGTGGAACTTTATGTAAACTTGGGTGGGTATCAATGGATTAAACATTTGTATGATTCTGAGCAGCTCTGAACAATTGTACCATGCAACATCCCTTCCTGACTACCTTCTCTTACATTAAATATACAGGAGACTGATTGAAAAGCTCAAAGCTGAGAGTACACAGAGTAAACAGAATCATGAAAGTGCTGTCCAAGCAGGAATAAAGCAACAGCAATCTGCTCACAAGATGGAAATAGAAGTTAACAACACCAGAGAGCAGATGAAAATACTGCAACAGCAGGTCGGTCAGTCGGTCGGTAGTGCTGCAAGTTTAAGGCTATGAAGCAACAGCTTCAAAGGCCATTCACAGCATAGCGCATACGCATAAGGTCAGAGATCACCACATTACTACATTGACTGTAATAGGTTATTTTCAAAGCAAAGGCTGCTCAATTCAACCATCTATTCTATGATACTGTCATCTTTGAAAGAGAGACACCTACAGAGACACATCTACTAAGTATTCCCCATATCAAACCTTTGAATAAATTCCTGCAGTTATGTTAGTCTCTGTCTAATGAAACAATAAGTGTTACAAATATAGAACATTCATTTTCTTGCATCTGCGATTTTTCAGAAGTATTGTTGTGATCATATCATTTGTGATTTTTAAAATATTTGTGCTTGTGCTTATCTTTTGCTTTCGCCTGCTTCACGTCCCTGCTCTTCCCGTCCTACTATTGGCGGGCAGGCTTTCAGTCTTTCTGCCCCCGGCTCTCTGAAATTCCATCACGGAGTCCCTCTGACTCGCTCCCTCATTAACCTCATTCAAGGTCCATCTCAAGACCTATCTCTTTCACTTTGCTTTCAGTCATCTTTCCCCTCCCACACCCTCAGCTCCAACCCATGTCTCAGGTGCCCAGCCAGTACTGTTTTAGCGCATTAGGACAACCTCCCATCATTAAAGGCGATATATAAATCTAAATTTGTATTGTATATCTTAGGTGCAACAGAAGGATGACATGGGAAAACGACTTCGAGAAGAATTGAGCATCGAACAATCAAGACATCAAGAATTAGAAAGGCAGCTTCAAAAACTAAAAGAGCGTGCAGAAGAACTGGAAAGAGAAACTGAAAGCATGAATGAAAAATTAAAAACCAATTCGCAGATGGTGAGTACAGAAGAGAAATGTTTAACAATAAGCATGACTTCTAGGAGCAGACCATTCACAGGGAGCAGAAATTGATCCCATTCAGCTCCTGTTGACCCCGCAAGACACAGTCCTAACGGTCGGGTGGTGCTAGCTGGACAAACAGTGGAAAACTTGCTAACCATTGAGAGACTTGCCAGACAGTGCTCTCAATAGCAAGCTATGTGTTTTTAGCTGGTTAAACCCCTGCAGTACTTTAGCACACACTCGGAATTAAATAAGCAGTGTGCATCCTTCCACGGAGAAATCGCACAATCCATTTCCAGACACAATGAAATTTCCATGTGTAGATGGCAAACATACATGGAATTTTAAGAAAAAAATAAAAGCGCCAAATACTGCAGATGCTGGAAATCTGAAAACAAAAACAGAAGTCGTTGGGAACACTCAGCAGGTCAGGCAGCATCTATGGAGAAAGGAAAGTGAGTCAACGTTTCAGGTCCATGATCCTTCGTCAGAACTGAGTTAGTCTCTGTCTCTGTGGACCTGAAACGTCCAGAACCTGCTGAGTGTTCCCAGTGACTTCTGTTTTTGTTTACGGAATTTTCAGTCTGGTTTGGATATCTTTGGATCAGGCATGGTGATGTTTTTAGACAACCGACTGGTCACACAATCTGCTGAAAAGTGTGGATGAGGACAGTGAAGCTGGGATGTAATTGTTCCACAGTTGAAAGCACACCAACATTCACACAGATATGAAGAATAGCCATGTAAAAGAAGTGGCACAGGGTGACAGGTATCACAGAACTGTATGAGTTGAGACATTTTATAAAAAACAGCACACATTTTGTGTGAAAAAAGTATTAAAAATACTTATCAGTGGAGGACGGTACTGTACACTCCCAAGACTTTCATCTACCCCGTCTGTATTTCTTTTTCTCTGCAATGATTGTATCCATCTTGGATCTGTAATTGAATAGAAGATATCTCACTGGTGATATTGATTTTCTACCATTCCTTTACAAGTGAGAAAGACCAGCAACTCAGGAGTACCACAGCCCATTAACCAGCTATGGCAGTCTCACGCACAATTGGAAGGATTTCTGGAACTCACTATCACCAGTGAGCTATTCTATTTGCTCTTTGGGGAAGAGCAATACAATATTAACAACAAAATTACATTTGTAAAGCGCCTTTCACATCGGAAGGACGTGTTAATACATGGAGAATTAACAAAGGCTTTAAATTCTAGAGAGATCTGCCAGGTGTCAAATGAAAATTCACAATTCATTTATCCTTTCAGTCAGTGAAATTATCATTCACTCCTTTAAAATAAATACGTTTGTGGGTTTTCTGAATAAAATTACATATTGATTCGTTTCTGGTACCTTCATTCAAACCTTCATTCAAAATATGTATTGGTTATTGCCAAACAGTAATTGTCCAATTATAATGTTTAATCATGGTACTTTTACTTGTGAACATTAACAAAAATCTCCAAGATTAATGTTAATCAGTTAGCTGCTTTCATTAATGAAGTCAGTTTGTTCACTGCAGTCAATCCTGATGTCATTCAGGTAACAGAAAAAGATAAATATCTTTAATTTATAATTTATCAATGCCTCGAAGGACAAAATTATTTTAATCCTACTATTTTGCAATGAGGGTGGATCAATCCATATCGACAAAAAAAATTAGGAAGTATAGAAAACCTTGTCACTTTTAAGTATAGATGTGTTTAAATAGGAATTACAAATTTCAGAACCCAAGTGCAGAGTGGAACTAAAGTCTTAGATTCCAGCTAGTTGTACCCGATAAGATCATTGTTCCTTAAAATTTAAGATTGTGCAGAATTGTGGAACATTCATAGTTCACTCTTGATTTGGAAGTCAATTTTCCAGTGATATTTTAAAAAAGGGCTTCCAAATTAAGAATTTTCCAGAATTCTGCACAATCTTATAAGACGGCTCTTAAGAGTCTGAGGTTAGTTGGAATTTCGGGCCTTAAGTGTCTGCTTAAAGATTGTGATCAGATAACACCCAATTGTCTGGATGAATTTATTTGTACCTTTTGTTTATGTAAAATAAAGTGTTTCACTAATATAGGAATAGAATTAGTGTGGCTGGTATTATGCACACTGCTCCACTAATATTAAATATATGTTTGGACAGGTTGCGAAAGGTTAAACAAATAGATGTAAAAGTCAGTAATGAAAACCTCTGGTCTTCAAACACATGCTTCCCTTGAGATAGGCTTACATACAACTGAAATAATGAATAGCTTACTCTGTAGAATAGATCTGAATATATTACAGTTCTGCTTCTGTGATAAGACATACAGTATTAACCCTTCAACAGCAAAAACCTGTCTGTAGACTGCATAACATTTAATCAAGACTGCATTAACCTAGATTTAGGTAACTTTAGACTGATGATCTGTATAAGAAATACAGATTAATAAAACTGTTTACAGAACTACAATTATATACACATTGATACATATAATGTTTCTCTGTCCATCAACATGTGAATGTGGACTTGTCATACAGAGTGAACCAAAAGGTATTGCACCTAACTACAGTGCATTCAATGCTTATGTATATCATACATATGTAAGAGAATATATATATACACATACACATACACCACACAGTAAACTTCCCTCTAAAGTGCCATTAACTGTTGGTTAAAGGAAATGTGTAGGTTTGATTTTCAAAATATTAGATATACTACTGTCTTGTATCAGGAAGTATTTATCTGAGGAAAATTGTTAAGAGAAGGAACAATTACATCCAAACTGATATCAGAATTTTGCCCCCTAGCTGAAGGACAGGGATGATCAGATTTCAAATCTCGAACACAGTTTGGCTCAGTTGCAGAGAAAGTACCAGACCCTGCTTAGTAAACACAGAAATTGTGAATCAGAGCTGCACTTGAACAAGACAAGCCTGATATCAGCTCATAAACAGAACAAACATCATGCGAAAGAGGTAAGAATTATTATATGTATTATCTATTTGTCTAGTGGTAGAGGAATAAGCTATGAGTAACGACCAGCCTTGGAAATAGACCTCTCAGAAGGGAACCTCATAGAGCTGTAAGATGGTTAATAGGATAGAGAGAGTAATTGTAGATCAATACCTTCAGATACTCTCAAGATAGCGGGACAAAAGTTCACAGGGTCAGTGTTAGGAAGGGCAAGTTTAGGACAGAAAGTAGGATTTATTTATTTACAGAGAGAGTAGCAAACACAGATGTGTAGGGTTGTCAGGAAGGGCGATTGAGGCCATGACAAAAGACTTATTTAAGAAACTGCCTGATGTTGAATTGATAAGCAGAACAATTTGATATTCGAGAAGCATAAGGTTGGTCGATGACTGATGAAGTTCTCTCTTGTGATATTATAGAAAATTATAAGCAGAAAATATATTCTCATAGTGATGGTGCACATGATTGAAACATCATATGGAATATGATATGCAGTACAAGATCAGGTAGCAATACTTGCTCGCCATGTTTCATAACCTTGAATAAAGTAGTTCCATAACATTCGAAGCACAATCAGCAAGAGTGCTTCAAAGAAATCCGGTAATCTTGCCTGTGGCAAGGATAATTTGGGTCATAAAATGAAGTGTTCTTAAAATTATCAATAATGTAATAATCACAAGGTCATTGATCAAGAATTCTGAGCTTCCTCAGTGTGGAGAGACAACTCATAAGTTGTTGTTAATTTGCTTTTAGATTTGTCCTTTATTGTTCCTTTTTCTAAAAAAAACTTTTTCCTCTTTCCTTTTCCTCCATCATTTTATCGACTTTTCTCCTTCTCCCTCTTTGTCTTTCCCATTATCACATTTGATTGAATAATATATTTTGGCACTCTACTACCAATTACAGTGCATTTAACCAGAAATATTTTAATGGCTGTGTTTGTCTGATGAGTGTATCTGTTATAGAATTTTATTGTTCTTGCTCAGTTTGTTGCTGAACTGAAGACAGGGCAAATTTGGCCAGGGATACAATAACTCACCCTACTTAAAGTTGACAGTTCCTCAATATAGACTACAGACCAAATAACCAATTTTAAGGCAAATCTTCTATTGAAAAATTAATTCTTCATTTGGATTTTATCAGCCTTTTATATATTCTAAGACTAACTATGCGAGGTATCTCTTATATAGACATTTTTATATGGGAATTGATAATCAACTTGTATGGCCAATGAAGAAGTCATCAGATTCAAGTTTGCTCCAGAAGCACTGGAAAACGCATCTGAAATAATCAAAGCCTTATGCGTTTCTGCACAGTGTAAACAGTCTACTTCACTTTTTGAGAATCTGACAACAAAGAAAAGGTGCAACAGCAAGCATAAATATAAAGCATTGCTGCTAAATAGAGTTTATTGCTAGGGTGAGCATCCTGAGTTTGACATCAAGTACTGCCTTGGTGTTGGCACAGTTCGAGATGGTTGAAGCCAAATTATGATTCAGACTTCTGTTTTTTAACTTCTCCAGCTCGACAACACTGAAATTTAATCACCAGCTGGAAACCCCAAGGCATTTGATTTCAAAGCAAAAATTCCAGCCTCACTGCAATATGCGTCAAAGTACGTATGTGTACTGAATTATAATGCACAAGAACGAACCAGACAACTTAATTTTTTTTATATACCAGTCTCTGTGAGTCATGTTATCCTACTCTTAAAGAGCAGACTTTATGAGTTGGGGGGTGGGTGAGGGGAATTGTATTTTAACAGCAAATAAACATTGGTAAAAGACATCCTCAAAATGTGTTATCTTAACACTAAAAGTGATGCACTAATCACAGCAACAACATATATTTAAATATTCCCCCTTTCATGTAAAATAAACATTTTGAAGCACTTTACAGAGATATTTTAGTAAGGTTAATGATGTTGTCAACATTTTTAACTTTGATCACCAAAGTATGATGAAAATCATATCTGAAAAATGTGCCTGTAATTGTGTCAATTCTGCTGGTAACTTCTAAACTCAATTAGCTGTTCCTGTCATATCTGTACAAATTCATTTGGCTGTCAATCTTCCAGACCTTTTATATTTTTAAGAGAATTTCATACTGTCTCTGAATAGAAATAATATTTGTTGTTGGTTGTGCAATGTTTTCTAAAGCTGTAATAATTCTATGTTACAGTTGACTCACTATGAAGAGACAGTGGCCAAGCTTCAGTCAGAGTTGAATACTTTACAGGATCAAACACGAAAGGGAACCCGGGACTTGGCATTAGCAGATCAAACCATCCATGAGCTCAGGCTAGAGCTGACAACATCCCAGGGCACACAGAAAGAGACTATGGAGCAGGTTTGTTACAATATAATAATAATAACCCTTGCATTTGATATAGCGCTTTTCACGTCTTCTAGACACCTCAAAGTCTAGGATATTCTGTGAAATGAATTGACTGTATTTTGTGGGCTAAACACGGCAGCCAATTGCGCACAGCAGTGACCCACAAACAGTTGTGGATTGAGTGACCAAATTATTTTTTCTTGAAGGACGATTATCAGGCGTATGGAGTAAGGAAACTTGCCCAAGGTTTCGCCCTGCTGGGAATCAAAACCAGGTCTCTCGCTTGCGAGGCGAGTGCTCTAACCGCTGAGCTATAGGACTCCTGATATAGACAGTATAATATCTCCATTACAATGACTAGAAATGGAGGCATTTTCCCCTTTAATCCAAATGTTAGCGAATTCTCCACCTCACCCTCCGATTCCACCCTTCGAGCCTGCTTGGCTACTGTCAGCACCTTCTCACCTCACCATCAATCTTCAAGGATGCAAACTCCACCTCATGGAACCAGTGCAGAACCTCAGTGTGTTGTTCAACTCTCAACTGTCCTTAAACCACACATCAGTGCTCTGACCCGTTCAGTTTCCTCCCCCCCCCATCCCTCTACCACCACAATATTACCTGCTTATCCACTACATCTGCAGGTCATCAGCAGGTTCAAATAAACTCTGCTTGCCAGACTTACAACTCCTTCCTCCACAAGCTGCAGACCATCCAGAACACTGCAACTTGTGTTCTCTCCACAAACCTGTTACACCCATCCTCACCTGTCTCCAGTAGCCCTTGACTGTCCAGCATTTTTGACGTCTTCCCAACCTGCAAGGCGCTATATAAATGCAATTGTTTTGTATAAAGCATATTTGAAAGGCTGATTTTGACTTCTATTGCAGCTGGGTGAGAAGAGCAGGGAGTTAGCAAACTTAAGGAACGACATTGGCCGTGCTCAGCAGAGAAATGCTCAGCTGGCTGAAGAGAATGCAGCCAATGAGGAAAGGATGAGAAGACAACACGAAGAGCTGAAGAAGATGCAAGCACTAAATTGTCAAACAGAAGAGGAGGTAGGAAAAATGATTTGAGATGAAAGGCAAAAATACCCTTCACCTTTTAGTGAACAGCAGCAGTTTCTTGATGAAATTAAGAAATCTCTTTTAGTTGAAGGAAATAGCGTGCTTTCATACAGTAGGACCCTGTTATAAGGCCCCACATTATAATTCAGGTTCACTTATATGTTGAGATGTGAACCAATGATATACCTTGTTACAGGGCTGGTTGGGATTTTATGTATCCCCAACAACAACATTGTAACAGGGTTCCACTGTGTTTGCTTTAATAAACTAAGGAAACTTTAATTATTATTTAATTTTGTTCAACCAAAATATTCCTTTACTTTTTTCAGTAAGTTTGAGAGGAATTGGTTAAAAAGAAATACTGGCTGTTCAGTTCTTCAAATAAAACTGAAAAGATTATTGCCGCTTTTTACATCACATATTAGAGTGCAATATTATTGTCTTTGTTTGAGTCAACATTTAAAACTCTATTTATCTAATTGCTAAATCTGCCCTCAAGTTCATTTAATAGCATTGCCACTATGGCAGTTTAGTCAATAGTTTTTTGATGGACTATATAAGGTAACCCCACTTTAATCCATCTTTTTATATAGTACACCCAACAAGGATCTGTAACAATAAGACCCATTTCATTAACCCAATCATCTGTGTAATAACAATTGCACACTGCAACATTTCTGTAAAACTGAGCAAATGTAACCCGTGCCGCGAGTCCTCTGAGATATTAGCAAGTGAAAAACATGAAGAAATAATTAATTTTTTAGAACCCTATGAATTTTTCTAAGGTCATCCTCAAAACTGATTAAACGTATGACTGTGATTAAATTATTTTTTATAGACCAAGTGACACAGAGATCGCTTAAGGATTAACCCAGATATGGCAGCAATACAACAGCAGCCAGTATTAATGTAATCTCACCTCCACATGCTCACAGTTAATCAGCAGAAGCTTAATTAAAAAAACCTTTGCAAATCAAACTTATATTAGTTTCTGCATTAAGCCATCTCCCATTGATTTTCTTGTGCATTTTAGATATAAAGGTCATCTGCTGATTCTTCATCTTAGTAAAGAATTGGTTTAGGCTTTGGTTCTTCAGAGTACATTTTTTTAATAGTATCTTACAGATTGTGCTTTTTTTTAAGGGCCTTATCAGTTGAGTTGAATCCAGTAGAGTTTTTTTTAATTTAACTATTAATATGTTGCCATGATTACCAGCCCTGTATTATGCAGCTATTCAGGAGATTTGTGCTATCAATTCTTTATTTTCTGCACATCACATCACATTCACAGCAGTCAAGTAGCGATGCCACGGTTGGTAGTTGTACCTGTATCAGTTCTGATTGCAGGTCAGGTATCTACACAAGTGTCAGAGATTGTGGGCCAGTCCTGAAAAGAATGTTAAGAGTAACGCGATGGCATGATACGTTGGTTTGCTAAATGGTCTATATCAGAGTGTGGTAGCTCATAACACAAATTCTTAGTGCTTAACTGCAAATCTAAGAGAGGCACCAAATAGAGAATTTTTTTTTGGTGGGGTGGGGATGAAATTGATTACTGTAAAGCCTAATGACTTGGAGCTATGCACTGTGCAAGTCACCAAAGGTGGTGCTCACAGAGGCATGGGGAATTTCACCTCTTTGTTTATTAGCATTTTTATCCTTAGATGAATGTCAAGTTTCTGAGATTCTGTGTTGAGCTAGTAGAAAAGTTTAATTTTGTTAGTTAAAACTAATTTTTGACCTGGCCCCAACCATACATACCCCTGTTTGGTCTTCCAAGTGACTTAGACCAAAATGCTCTGTGGTTGCCACGGGTCCTTTCCTTTTTTTAGATCATGGTAGATATTTGCTTAGATACCTACATTTTGTGTGGAATTATTTTTCAGGTTCATATGTATGAAGACCGATTAATGGAACTCGATAACCACCTCATGATATCACAGAGAAAGTCTCACGAAACCATGAAGGAGCTGTCGTTTAAGGAAGAAGAAATGATGATAACGAAAGTGGAACTCGCTTCACTTCGAGAAAAATACCGCTCCAAAGTTGAAGAGGTAACCCTTTACTTCCAGATCATTTAACAAGTTTCAAGCGACAATTCTAAGGTCCTGTTTCCAAAAATGTATCTGTTCATTTAAAATTCATTAATTAGTCTGTGCTAAATTACCTGATTTCAGTCAGGGCAGCAATAGCACCACTGCAGTTAGCATGGTGGAATTTAAAAGGTGGAATTTACTTAAGACAACATTGCAATCAGATTGAAATAACTTTTTCGAGAAAAAGCCTCAAAATAAAATAAGTAAAGAGATTCAGATAGTGCAATCAATTATCATTGCAGGACAAAGGAACCCTGGGTTTTAAATGTAAATAAGCGTTTCAATGTTTCCACTGAATTAAGTTTTAAAGCATAATGAACATTTTGTAGGTTAACTTTAACACATAGAAATATTTTTATTCAATTCAATCCGTTGTGCTTTTCAACCACAGAATTGAACAAGCACAAAAAAAGATGAGTGAGTGTAGTTGAATGCACACACCCATGTTTTCCCATGGGTATAGAAAACTGTAGGCTTAAATTGCAGTGCATCTGACATAGACTATTTTACAGGGATAAGGATATTAGTTCATTTGGTATGTATCCTTTGCTGCCAACCGCTTAGATAAACAGTCTTAAACCAATCATTTCTCCCACAGTAACTGCTTTCTAAGTTAATTGAATAAGGGTTCACCTGGATTAAGCAGATCAGAGATCAGGACTCCGCTCTAAAACCACCTTCCTCTAAACAACCATTTTGATTTGTTCCTAAAGGCTATTATCTAATATAGCTTTCACTGTAAGAAATATAGGTTACAGCTCAATCTAATTTCAGTGCATGAACATTTCTATTAAAACAAGACACTGCATTCCTTTACTAGCTGTCTTTTCTATGACACTCCCAGAGAGATGTGCATCAGCTAGACAAAAAGTGAATTCAAAATGTTGTCAGCCATGACAGCTGTTATATAGCATGCCATCCACAGTGGCTAAAATTGCCATATTCATTACACCACCTCATGTCCACACAGCCAGGCTTTAAATTGATGTTGAAAAGTGTGTTAGTCATTGCTTCAACTATGTATTACAATTCGTGTCATCAGAGAGTGATTTTTTTTTCACCTTATTTCTATCACATTCTCTGTTTGTGCCTGTTCATGATATTGGAATGTTTAGCTGCGTAATTAAGTGTAATGGAAAATTTAGACTGAAGTGTCTCTATTTCAGATAGGGTCTTCTGTTAATAGATGACTGCGGAAATGTTGTTTGACTTCGTTTGAAGAGAGCGCATATATTTTGAAGCAAACAGAACAAACCAGATTGATTTTGCATTTAATATGCATGTTAATGGCAGTGGTGAATCCAAGGAGAATACTGGATAGAGGATCTAATGTTCAGCTAGTGAAACCAAAATCAAACTCCTCTAGTTTTCAGTGTTTGTACCACATTCCAAAATTATGTAAGAGTTTGTCATTGTACATCAACAGTCACTTTATACTACTTTATACTCAACTTTTGGAAAGCAGTCATAGCCTTATTACACTTGTTTCTGGGTCAGAAGATTGTGAGTTCAAGTCCCACAATTGGGATAAATATTAATAAACACTGGGGATTTGTGAACTGAAATTGACCACTCACTGACTTTGTAAATTAGATAAATAGTCAATAGAAAACAGTCAGATAATGTTAACTGAAAATTTGTTAAACTAATTGACACTTTTGTTTTGGGGCATCAGTAAGGGTGAGGCCACACTCCCATAACCCCCCACACCTATATGTCAGATCAGTGCAATTCATATCTGACGCTATAGATTTTCAATATGCGAATGAATATTTTGGAATCTCGGAATCACAACTATGTCAGACTGATTTTACGTGCTTCTTTCTGGTCTGCACATGGCAAGGCTTGAAAAAAACACCGAGAACTGGGAAAACTCAGCAGGTCAGGCAGCATCTATGGAGCAAGGAAAGTGAGTCAACATTTCAGGTCCATAATCCTTCAGAACTCAGTTCTGACAAAGGGTCGTGGACCCGAAATGTTGATTCACTTTCCTTGCTCCATAGATGCTGCCTGACCTGCTGAGTTTTCCCAGCTCTCTCTGTTTTTGTTTCAGATTCCAGCGTCTGCAGTATTTTGTGTTTGAAAAAACACTTCCTGACTTTGAGAACATGATTCTTTTCAACTGCGAGTCGATGCTTAAATTGAGTTTGTACATTTTGCAGGTCAGATTTTTAGAAATTGGAGTTGCATCATGATGTTTCATTTTCATTTGATCAAATTAAATTTCCATACTTTTACAAATATTATATTAAAATTTCCGAGATCCAATATCATTTGTGGAGTCATGTAGCTCAGTGGTAAGAGCATTCGCTTTGCAAGTGAGAGACCTGAGTTCAATTCCAGGCAGAGGGCGAAAGCTTGGGCAAGTTTCCTTACTCCACACAGAGCCTAATATTCCCTCCAAAACCCAAAACAATAATAAATTGGTCATTATCAATCTACGACTGTTTATGGGACATTTCTGTGCGCAATTGGCTGCCGCGTTCGCCCACAAATATACAGTCAATTCACTTTACAGTGTGTTCTGTGAAGCGCTTTGGGACATCCTCCCGACATGAAAAGCGCTATATCAAATGCAAGGATTATTATTATTATTATTTTGGTAGCTTCACTTGAATGAGGTGTTTTGGTAGTTTCATAGGTCAAAGCCATCTCCCCCCCAAAAAAAATTGAACAAGTTATGTTGTACAAGTATCTGCTGATACTTTGTAGGTTCCATAAAATAGCCTCAAGCAGAAAAGGATCAAAATAGGGTTGTGACCAGCCAGGTGTTTGCTGAATGCAGCTTTACACGTTCTATTTGTCAAAATGAAAATTTCTTGTCATGTGAATTGCACAATTTGTTTCCACTGAGGAAGCAAATAGTGACACATTTGTAACAACTAATCTCATTTTTTTTTAAATCAGACCAAATTTAGTAATAATATTAAAAAAAGTACAAAATGAATAAATTTATATATATATATTACAATATGTATATATATACACACAGCATGTTAACTGAGAAATCTCTATAGCATGGGACTGAAATACATTCAAATTCATGTTCTTTAACTTGCATTCTTTTAAAAGATGTGTTAATATGTTATTCTTAATGGTAGAATGATTAAATTAACAATTCTACCAGCTTGATCTGTACACCATGTTAATTGGTTTCAGCTTATCACATTGTATACTGTTTATATACAATTACCTTGAAATTAAAGCAAGAAAAAAGATAAGCATTCATTAAAATTGGATTCTAACAAACTGCATCCTTCATGTTAATGAACATAAAGCACACCAAAAAAAATCTAAATTGATTCAAAAATCACTTCATGTTTCTTTTTAAAAAAAGTTACAACAGCTTGGTTGTTTTTAACTGTGTGTAGCAGTAGTTTAAGCTGAATTTTAACCAAAGCACTATGGAGGTCACAAAACTCCATGCCTAGAAGATATATATGAAGAGTTGCACAATGCAAAAATAAGCCTGAGTGAAAGATTTGATTAAGAATAAATATCCAAGAGTGTCATGTTGTCCTGTGTTCATTTTTCTTCTCCTTTTCTGGTTCTGCTTGACAGGGAGATACCTTACACAATGAGCTCAACCTATTCAAGCAGAAATACCTGGAGGCTTGTAATGAGGTGGGTATAAGCTGAATTCATAGCATCTCTAATAAGATTTGGCAGGAGCCAAAGTGAGGTATTTATTTTTCAATGTAAAATGGAGACAAAAATCTTCCAGTGTGTCATATTGAAAATAAAAAAATTAACACAAAGCTTCCTTGTTAGGAAGGCTGTGTTTGATGGACGGGGTGGGGGGTGCGAAGGGGTGAATTTCACCCCAGAAATATACATTTTCACCCTTGGCAATTTGAGGGGAAAAAAACAAATATTTTCTGAATAAATCTTATTGAAAAACAGAAAAGGATTGTGGGCACAGAAATCTAAGGAAATCTCTGGTAAGTTTAACAGGGTGTTTAGTTGAACAAATTATTATAATCTGAAAAGCTGTTTCATATTCAAACAGCACTTGACCTTTGCTTTTATTTATCAAATATCTCAAATTCCATCCATAATAACATCAGTATGAACAAATGGCCCTTGATCATTGCATGAATTGCATTAAAGCAGTTATTTCCAGACAATAAAACAACATTGATGTGGATACTAAAGTTAGCAGGGAGGGAGTTGGATGGGGGGAACATTAACTAGATCAATAGAAATTTCGAACCTACCTCGAGCTTTGGCCGTAGCTCTGAATTTAGACCCTCCTCTATTTATTGGAAGTAACATCTATCCAGCACTCCTCCCGCTCTCTATCTCAGCCACAACATTCAATACTGGCCAAGTATCTGTCTGATACTATCTCAACAGATATGTCTATCTTGTTTCAATAGTCAAATCAGATCTATATGGGCCATTGACTCTAAAGCTGTGAAGTAGTCAGTAAAATTGATACACTATGTACTGCAAAAATAACTAATCATTTACCTTGCACCCATGTGGCCCCAAATTGAAATTACTTTTTCTTTTAAATTCTGCAAATATCTATTTTTAAGGTATTTTTCTGCTTTTTGGGGGAGATCACTACGTGCCACAGACCATCTTCAACTGCGGACAGACAGTATGCTGCAGATTACCAATGCTCCTCTGAAATCAATCTCTGGGAGTCCTCCCTCTCACTTACCCTCACTCTACCTGCTTAAGATCCTAGCCTGGCAGATTGAAATCACCAACTCAAATAACAGACTGCAGCCATGTTTATGGCCCCACTATGCAGCCCCACTATGCAGCCTCACTGCACCGTCTCTTCATGTTCATTGTTTTTCTTCAGGGCTACATTTATCCTGTTCGACATACTAATTCACATCTTTGGATCGTTCTAGCTTGAAACATTCCGAAACTCTCTGGAAGGAGCGAGGTCGGACAGTTCAAGACTGCATCGAGAAAGTGAACTGGTTGTAGCAAACGTTAATCAATGGGTAAAGGAACAGAAGTAAGTGGACTGGAAAGGTATTGGATTTGGGATTGTTTATATACTGTAAGCCACCACAATTTAAGCATGCAATTGGTTAGAAGTCTTGAATGCTCACATTTACAAGTAGTCAAGCCATAACTGAGCAGTATTGTTCAACATCAGTGTGCTAGAATATGACATCATACCTGTTCAGTTCCAGTTGAACCTTTTGTGATTGTGTGTTGGATTATCACTACCAGCCTGCACGAATTGCTTTTATGGTGATTTGCATCTGCTCTAATAATTCTATCAGAAAAAGCATATTTAAATTTGTCCTCCAGCCTCTAAAAAGTCTATAAAATTGTTTTTTTTAGTAAAATACTATCATTTAGTCATCTGATAAACAATCTTAAATGTAAAATAAATTTCTTATTATGCAATACAACTGGGTGAAGCACTTTGAAACATCCTCCCAATTTGATAGAAGCTATATAGATGGAATTATTGCTCTTATTAAAGATTTTTTTTTAAATGTCTGAGAATGATTGTAAGTTCAAATGATACCAGCATGAACCTCTATGGTCTCATGTCCTGGGTCATGTCCTCCTCTTCACTCCATGAGTGTGTGGTATGTTTATTATATGTATTAAATATAATTTGGGACAACACCAGCATTTCAATTTTCATAAATCTGATTTCATATCAAGGTCACTACATTTCTTAAACAGTTCCAGACTATGTCAGTCATCAGCAGAAAATAACTATTGCTAGTTGATGCTGTTAGCATGAGCATCATGGGGGAATAGAATTAACAATAAATACAATCTTTAATGATTGATATTGTTTTCCTGGTAACTTTGATTGTTTTATAAATATTATTTCATCCAAACAAACCATAATTCCATTGTATGGTTCTTTTCATGGAAACATTGACATTTTCAGGACAGAAGAGTCATTCAGCCCATTATGTCTGTGCCACTACTGCCTGTTTCTCCAAGTAACCCTGTTTATTGGTTCCACTCCAGCTCTTTTCCCACATGTTCTAATGTTTTGTTGCTAAAGTGCTTATCCAGTTTCCTTTGAAAGATTCTTCACTTCTCCCCTCATAATCTTCTGAAGGTGTGGCTCCTTTTTCCTCCAGATTAAGGTATTACTAGGGTATTATTACACTGAAACAGTGGCCTTTATTTATGCGTTGGCTGTAATTGTTGGAAAGTGAATATTGAGTTTCTTTTGCAGGGAAGCCAATGAAAAATTAGGAAATAAGATCAAAACGCAAACCATGCAAATACTCCATCTATCTACCGAAAAAGAGTAAGTATTTATCAGTGGGAACCACTGGTGTAAACAACTGACCCTGACTAGCCCTTATAGTTAAGTACTGCACCAGATTTACACTAACTGATCGCACCCCTTTGTCTAAAGAGAACACACAATCAGCCACTATTGTGTCTGATCCACATCCTGTGCAGTTTAAAAGGCATTTTTAGTTTGTACTCTTTTTTTTGGCATTAAAGAAAACCAAGATTGAGCCACTCAATATGTTGTATTCACCCTCATTTGAGATGCATCTCACTTGAGTAAATGAAAAATTCTGTCTGGCGTTTGGGGAATATAATTTTTGCTCGACAACATTTAGTTTACATCTATGGATTGAGCCATCTCAGCGGGAAAGTCGGTCTTTAGTTGCTTCAATCTAGAATGAAATATAGAATTACATTCCTTTTTTTAAAAAAAACCCTGGGGTTTACAAAAGTGTTGTGGCATATCTTCTGGAGATGATGAATGACTAACAGATGTTTTTGTTTTTTTACTGTTTATCTCGGATACATATCACATTTACATTCTGCTGTTCCTTTATCTTTGCTTCAGTAATGACCATTTCTGTTATTGCTGTTGTAATCTTTGTCACAACACAGCCATCTACAGGAAATGAATGAACGTCTACAGCATGAGAACAAGAAATTAAAACGTGACCTGGATGAGAGAAGGATTGCAAATGAGAGGTGGAAGGCAAGTCCAGTTTCTTAAAGGGAGCTTGGATAAGTGAGATATCAAAAAAATTCAAGCATGGTCCCTCCCGTGCTTTTCCCAAAAGGTGCCATAGAAAAGCAATTTTGTTTTAAATCAATATTTTTTGGAATAGTTTCACTATTCAAGAAGACTTGTGCTAATCTCCCAGCTACTGTATCTGAATATAACCAGAGACAATAATCCTAGACTGCTTCTATTGCTCTGTTTATACGGCTGAAAAGCAATTTAAAAATCATATCCAGAAATAAAGCGATTAAGAGAAGAAAATTTAGAGCAAAGGTACAATCCTGCTAACTGTCAGTTGAAAGGCATTTGGAACAATGTCAGGTTGGGGGCATTAACTGGAAATGTGACTGCTGTCCTGTTTCTCCCCACTTATTGAACCTCATTAATTCATATTTTTGGCACAGGCTCAACATGTTAAGCCATCAGACCACTGCGGTATCATCCGGCAGTTCCACAACCAGCACGAAAAGTAAGTACTTCTAAATCTGCCCTCAATATTACTACGTTTAAAACAATCCTCATTTATTCATAGGAATCAGACATCCAGATTGTTTCTAAATCTCAAGCAATTTGTTGCTTTTCTGCAATTAGCCTATTTTAGCTCAGTTAAGACTTTGGGGTTTGCCATTTCAGGTAAGGTTATCAGGTGTTTGATGTTTGGCACCTGAGGCTGCCTTTAAAACTAGCTTTTTTAAAAAAAAGAAATCTGAATTAAATCCTTATATTTGAAATGCATTGAATCCAATTGTGGGAGTCTTGAGCACATCTCTGCTGACACGCTGAAACCTATAATTGAAGCACATGCTTCTCTTCATTAACTGATTGTCTGTGTTTTAGTCAATTTTTGTGACACAGATTACTGTTGGTGCAATACCACTGACATTTTTGCACAGATTCTGAAGTCAAATCGAGTTTTCTGATTGCACAAGACAAACATGTCAAGAATCAAATAAGAAATTTGCAGCCTGACGTTTAGAGTAAAAAAAAGTAACAGTTTTATGTCTTTTTTTTCTTCTTAAAATCTTTCCTGCTTCCTAGTTACTTTCACATATCCTTCAGCAAGGAGGGTAAGCAGCAGATACCTTTCACAATTTCTGTCAGTGCCGTACTGGGGCTCAGGTGGCAGTAACAAAATACAGCATCAGTTTCAGACTGAGCTGCAATGCTGTTTGCCCATCATTAAGCAGCAATGCTGCTCAACTGAGAATTGATGAAATTCATCGCACAGTGGTTAGCACTTTGAGGTGTCTACTAGTATTGATGTAGTGGTTTACTGGAACAGCCTTGTGAGACGAGCAGTTTTCTTCAACCCATCCTCGCCCTCTCCATCCACACTTTAAATGCTCTGCTTTAAGTTCTCAAAGCAGGTGCCTGAGTGAGAGGGAATGCTACCGAGTCTTAGGTTTCTTCAATGCTGCTCTGTAATGGTGCATCTCCTCGTAGATGCACAGGATGCATTGTTGTGAGGAGATGCACAGGATGCAACAAGGTTCACAAGAGAGATTCAGGTGAAGGTCTTTTGGTCCCTTTGATTTCATCCTTCCAGAATTACCACCCTCCTTTCCTCCCATTACAGCACAGAGCTATTTCTTGAATAAGTCATGTCCAGGCCTCAACCATCCTTCCTGGTTACCCTTTGGGTAAAGAATATACATACTGGGGTCTGCCGTAAAGATTGACTAATTTTCAAATTTTTCTTTCTTGTGCCTTATTCTTAGTGCTTCATTTTTTACCTTTTTACCACCAAAATTTGCAGTATCAATATGTCAGTTTAGCTTAGTTGGTATCACTCTTGTTTCTAGGTCATTAAGTTGTGGATTTAAGCCTAATGTTCCGATTTACACTCATAGTCCAGATTGATATTCTAGTGCAGTCCAGCATGTGTTGCAATGTCAGAAGGACTGGCTTTTAACTGATTAGCTAAACAGAGGTCATGGGTGCTCATTCAGTTGGATGTTAAAAATCTCCAGACAATATTGAAAGAAAGAAGTTTCCTTTAGTGTTTTTGGCAAGCAATCCTCAAATTAATTGAATATTCATCTGATGCTGTTTGTGAGGACTTGCTGAGGTCAATAGTGCCGGTCAGTATTTATTTATCTACAATAATAGTCACACTTGTGGAGTACTTTGAGACATTCTGAAAATGCTAAGTTGTTATAAAAATGCAAGTTCTTCTTGTTATGCCTCACAGTCTATATCAAAGTGCACATACTTTTAAGATTTTGTGATTTTTACAAAACGAAAGGGAATACTAAGATGATATTATGGAGGTTTCTGTCCAGTCAGCGACTATTTATATTGCATATCCCAGCCTAAAGTATTGCAGTAACATGATTTCACTGCACAACAGTATTTTTCATAATAACAATGTAAGACACCTTATAATAATTGTGTTGGAAGTAGTTTAAACCCTTTAAATGATTTAATAATGTGCACGTATAGTCTTCACGATTGTCTCCATAATTCAAGAAGGAGAATTTATCTGTAGGATTGCTACCTAGTTGGGCAGCGATCCATTGCTTCACTGTCTCTTTCCTCTGAGTCCTGATAGTTAAAAGTATTTGTGAAAGCATTTACCTGAAACCTAATGTAGCTGTTTAATAAAGCGACAGGATTTGTCATTGACTGGTAATTACATCACAGAAAATCAATTCAACTGCTTCTTACTTAAAGGAACTCTACACTTTTCCATTATCCAGCGTAAAGGAAAATTTTTAATGCATGACTGGCATCCAAAAGGTCACATTCACTCCACAATCAAATACTTATTGAAGAAAAAGCCAATTAACCCTATCGCCACTTGTAGTGGTGCTACTTTTTTTTCACGCCAACTATTTAAAGGACTCAACTGCTGTACATAAAGAATATGTGCAGGAATGCAGCCTTGGCTGCAAGGCTACTGTGTAACTTAAGTCACTTCACATTATTATGATTGGAGGTCTGTGTGAGATCAATTTCATACAAATAAAAACCTCAGCATGAATTTTGCTTTTCCACATTTAATTTATAAATCAATGGGGAAAAATCAGCTCTGTTATGCTTGCATTTCCTGAATAAAATAAATGATCTTTCTAATACTTGGCTTGCTCGTAAAAAAAAATACTTGGCCCCCACAATGATTACATTAATTTATGTTCAACACATGATAATCATTGTACTATAAAAAATAAGAAATGTCCTACCTTTAACTGCTTTATCATCCCATCTGATTTCAGTAAATATTTAGATGTATTCCAGTACCCAATAAAGTCATTCTTCCAATACATTTAAGATGACTGTTAAATTAACAAACTGTTTCAGGAACTCTCAATGGATTTGCTAGATTATTGGAGCAATTCTTTACAATATTTGGAGAAGTTGGGTTCTTGGGCCACATCCATTTCAGATGAGTTGGCAAATTTCTTTTGAAATCGGATCTGAATTTCACTATTCACCACAATGGAAAATATTGAGGTTTTACGATTAGAACTACATATAGTTGGCCCACAGTAAAAATAAGTTCCCAATTGAAATGGATACACCGCCACCTTTCCTCCACCCCCATATTTGCAAGAAACCTCCGTTAAAAATCCAGAAAAAAAATTATCGACATTATAATAACATTTTTGTAGCTGTCTTCTAATTATTTTAGGAATTTATTAACGACTTTTTATTGCAGTAATCTTTGAGGATATTTTGATGCAACCCTCTTATTCATTTTGGATGATCAATTTTCTTGATTACAAGAGGAAAATGCTTCTAGTTTTAATATAAATCCCCAGTGAAAAAAAATCAGACTAGTCAGAATTCTATTGATGATTAACAAGATAAGCTCATGCAACGACAAACATAATCACAGATAGGTTTCAGAGCATAATTCTTAGATAGCCTTGTTGGTAACTTCTTTAGAATGCTTTCTCAACAGACACACACTTATTTGTCTTGATTTAAAATAAATTGACGAGTTTGTGAAGACTGCCAGGATACAAACATTGAGAGTCTAACACATCAAAGGTTTTCCGAAGTTGCACTGATATCTGTGCATCTAGAAAGAATTTCTTTATCAGTTCAGGCACTTTTTCCAGTCTTTTAACTAGATTACATTATTCACAAAGAGCAAGTGCCAACTGCAGGTGTTTCAGAATAAAAATAAAAGCAGTTAATTAATGGCCACTTATTTTACATGCGATCATCTGTAATGTGTACAATTGCTCATTGACCATATTGAGGGATTTTCTGGGGATATGAAATTCTTTTTCAAAAGTAATGTTGATCTACTTGTTTAGTATATCAATAGGTTTCCTCCTTCATAAATTCATAATATAAATGTTTTTTATAGAAACAAAATCCATCTTAATATTCACATATATGTGTACAGTTATTCCCAAGTATTCGTATTTTGAATATTCAGTGTAGATTGGTATCAAAGCTTTATCCTTCTGTTTTCCCTTTCTCTACACCACCTAAAAATCACAAAGACCATTCAGACTGAGTCTTGACTTCAATTTACTAAAGTTTTATTGTTTTTAAATCAGACCAAACCGTTTTTTCAACCTTTCCATCTTTTCATCTTTTAAATATCCGATGGAGTTAAGTATATAATAATAATCCTTGCATTTAATATGGTCAGTGCAACTAAACATCTAAGTTTGCTTTTGTATGGAGAGAATCTCTAATACTGAGCATATTTCCACATTGCCATGTTAAAAATGGCTGTACCAAGTCCAGGTTTCAAAACCAAATTGTTGCCTTTCACATGAATATGTGGAAATATGTGGACTGCTTTTTAGCAGTCAAAAATTCTACTATGTATTTATCCTCATATGACCATAGTTATGGTTTCAATCCTTTGCCGTGGCTGATTTTTCAGTTTGCCTAACATATGCATTGTGAGTTACATCAGTGCTCAGCTAACTACAACTGCATTTAGTGCATTCAGCCTCAGGGAGAAAACTGACACTTCATCTGTCTCACCCTGTAGTAAGTGCAATTTCATTTGGCTAAATCATGGAGAAGCAGTGGTGTTGAAAATCAAAGACCAATGTGTGACCTTGTTCACCTGCTGGATGGCTTGTGGGGAAGAATGGTTTTCCTGGGTAGGGGGAGCAGGGTAAAAGGAAAGAATGGCAAAATAAAATCTAAATCAACAACCTGCCAGTGTAAACCCTACAGGATTTGAGCAAGCTTTCATTTCATTTCCCACTTCTCTTCACTAATCTTTGATTAGTCAGACTGACTAATGATTTCCTCTTTTTTGTACTGAAATGTGCATCTGGCAGGCAGCCGTGCTATGAAATGCTGATGCTGGCACGGAAGTTTAGCTCTGACCTACCAGAGCATGCATAAGCTTGCAATTAAAGTGCATCTGACCTGCTTTTAATGTATTGTCTTATTATTTTAAATTAAGAATTGTAGATTTGTTATTGTCCCACCAGAGATGGTCGGAAACAGACGCGTGGCAGAGAGTACAGATTCAAATCTTTGTTCTGT